TGAGATGGGTTATGCGCTGAGCACTTTTGAGGCTGTCCTTGCATACCTCGCACTCGACTCGGCAGGATTGCGAAGGGCCAGTCGACGAAACAAAGCGCTGTGGAACGCTGCTTGCAACGGAAGCTTGGACGACTTGAAGAAGATCATGGAACCAGATGAGAACGCTGTCCTAGATGATGACCTTTACGAATCGCCAGAATCCAGTCGACGCCCGTCCAACAGCTGGAGCTTCACCAACGGGTCTTCCTCAAGGAGGTCGTCAACAGCGGTGACAATCTCGGATCGCTTCTCGTCAGGCTCTGGCCTCAGTCACGTATTTCCATTTCAGGTTGAGGACGATGGTAGTGAGATTGATTTCCCTCTGCCACCCCCTTCGAGAAAAGTAAAGAGGGTTGCCATGGACACACGAAGCATGTCCAGCGGCTCGGAGATCTCATATCACTCAAGGGCGACCAGCAATGGAACTATCGGAAGTGTGCTTGAAGGCGACATCACAATTGATCGCCTGTCGCAGACTCACAACTCATTCGGGGAATCAATTCTGATGATGGCTGTGCAAAACGAAAGGGTCGACGTTCTGCGGTACTTGTTGACGTTGAGCGAGTACTATCCCCTATCCGCTGTTCTGGACGACATCAACAACGAAGATACGACGTTGTTTAGCGCTGCGGTTCAGCTGGGGCACACCGAGCTCATCAATATTATTCTCGACTTCATTTCGAGGCTGGCGGCAAGAGAGCGCCTAATTGAGCATTTTGCCCAGCAAGACATTTGGGGGCGCAGTTGCGCGCATTACCTGTTCCACGCACCGTTTCTAATCTCTCGCATCGGGAAATTAGTCCCCTGGCGGCAAAAAGACAAGAATGGGCAGACGCCACTTTTTGCGCTTTGCAGGTCGTATGACCATGTCCATTACCGCGAAATGGTGGATGCCGGCCTTGATGCGGCCACGGAAGCGCAGGATGACGGGCTTCCGCTGCACATTGACGATCATGTGGACGCCAAGGGGAACACCCTGCTTCACATTGTCAACGACGCACAGCTGGCAATCAGAGTGCTTCAACAGTGCGACGTCGATGTTAATGCTACGAACGAGAAAAAGTTCACGCCGTTGATGGTTGCCAGCAAATATGGCAGATTGGACATGGTCAGAACGTTGTTCGTGGACGCACGCGTTGATGTCGCGGCCCGAGAAATCCGGAGCCTGACGGCCGTTGAATTGGCCAAAGATGACGACATAAGAAATAAGATTGATGACTTGGCACTCTTCAGCATGCCCCCTGGCACGGATGCACGAATCACCGGTGTCGTGAGAGCCTTTTTCGTTGAAGATGCGACCATTCGCCTGGTCTTGAAATCGGCCGCCCCAGCCGACCACATGAGCTACACTGTCACAACGAGCCGCAGAAACCTATCTGATTTTGAGCACCTCGGCAATCTGCTCGCGCTCGAGAACCCGGCTTCATGGATTCCGGCGGTGGCAGGCGTGCGGTCGCCTTTCCAGATACCCTCGAAGCCGTCAAGAGCGGTGCTACGAGATATCCAGACTCGGGCCGACTGGTTTCTCAAGATCATGCTCAACCACCCAACATTCGCGACGCACGAGATGCTGTGGGAATTCTTCTTGGTGCCTGATATCCAGCTTGGCATGATGGAGCAGAGGAGTAATCTGAAAGCCGAGACGCGAGCCGAGAAGGTCCGGGAAGAGTACGAGCCCGTGAAAGATGTGCGCGAGGTCGAACAATTTGTCGAACACGCAAGAGAGATGGTACGCAGCGTCAACTACTCGACTAAGAGCGTGGCTAGAAAGGTCAATAACATCGCCATCGTTGCTTCAGGTAAGTTTGTTTCCGGGCCTCACGGCAACAAGCAGGACTAACGAGAGCAGATCTCCACGACGCATCAGTTCTCCTGCACCGCGCTGTTTCAACGTTGCCGTTCCTCCCTCTTGCATACATCACGGCGATCGGGTCTTATGTCCGTACACTCGTACCAATGCAGTCAAATCCTAACGCCATCTTCCACTCAACATTATTGGCATCGCATTCGGCGATCCAAGCCCTGCTGTCAGCTCTGTCGCGACCACCTGCCCGAATCACGCAGATATCAGCTGCGCGCAAGGCAGTAGAGAGGAACTACAACTCGCTCACGAGATCGACAAGGTGGCCTCTTGGTCTGCTAGATGACACGCGACAACGTCTCAACGAGGAGAGGGAAGAGAAAGCCCGCCAGTCACAAGAGCAGGTGGATGACCTCGGTCGAGAACTTCGATACTCGCAACAAGTGGTGGCCGGGGAATTAGCCGGGTGGCAAGACCTGCACGAGAAAATGGGGCGACGAGCGATCAAGGAGTTCGCCAAAGGTATGGTGATCCAGGAGCGGCTCCGGCTGGACGGGATGATGAGGACACTGCGGAAGCTACGGGAAGGGAAAGCGGATCTCGAGGCGGCATTGGCAAACGTTTCAGGGCGGTCGAGTATGAGTCAATCGACGCATGAGGGGATGGGGATAGATGCGGGCGAGGGAGCCAGCAGTGCAAGCACGAGAACGGGCGACGTGGTGGCGAATGGTGCGGGATACTAGAGCCTAGCCCTAGTTTCGTATGGGGCGCACTGCGACTACGACGACTGCCGTCTGCCTGGGATGGGTGTGCGGACGTCGTGGTTGGGGGTGGATTCGCTTTTGTTCCCTTCAACACCAAGGACAGACGCGTTGTATGCAAAATGCGACGCGTCTCGGTCAGCGTGGCTGTGAGTGGACGGTTTGCGTGGGACGGATGACCAGTCCAGTCCGTCCGTCGCAGCGGATGAATGCAGCCAGGACAGCCGATAGAGAGGGAGGGTGGTGTCAGTCTGGGATGCGGACCACATCACCTGCATGGAGTACACAACTTTTGTCGAAACCTCTTTTTTTCCCGGTCTCTCCTACACTACTTGCTTCTCTCCGACCTTGTTGGTTGTCTTTTTGTGTAGTAGGTAGAGACACCTTTTTCATCGTTTCAAATTTTCCTTTTGACGGATACCCTTTTGGCGTCCTTGGCGTGGGTATGATAGACTAGGTTCCCTTGAGGGTTTTGGGTTCCTCGAGACCGAGGGACAATAGACAATGGATACATGAGGATACCTACCTTGATCAAGGTCAATACTGATTTAGTTCGGCTTGATAGTACAAATGAAGTGACGTCGATTTGGGTGTTGTTCAATCTGCAGGCTCGAGATTGTAGTCTTTTCAACCCCCAGCCCCCCGATTTTCCCGGGCAGCCTCCGTCAGGACGTGCCCGCTTTTGAGAGTACACCGACCCGAACTGCCGGTGTAGCAAAAGTTGCCAACATGTCCTGTGGCCCCGTCAGGGGAGGAGCAGACGATCCCATCCCATCCAAACCCCCATGTCCTTGATGCGTTTTTCTTCTCTGTTGTGGAAGTCTGAAGATCCACCGTCGATGAACAGCGAAACGTGAGTCACCCTTCCTTGCCACAGTTCTCGGCCAAGTTTGAAAGCCAAGAGCAGCAACCATTAGTATGGATGCATGACAAGGCTAGGGGGGGGATGGATGGGGCTATCGAACCCGGCAAGAAAGATGCTAAAGTAGGGTAGGTAGCTTGAGGGACGAGGGAAACGTCCGAAAGAAGGACGACGACGGCGGGAGGGCCATTGAATCGAGAAACAAAAAGGCGGTCGTGAAACATCCCGGGAGGACGGCTGGGCCAATGAAGCGGTCGAGACACGGTTCTTGAAAAGGGTTCTGGGGACCCGATTGGATGCCGGGCACGACCGGGGTGGACCGGAGGGGGGGGCGGACGAGCGATGAACGGGCGACGGATGACGGGTGGTGGGCTTTTTTGGCAGGTGGACGGACCTGCGGCGCGTCGAGATTGGGCGTGTGGAAAAGGTTCTGGCGCGTGGTTGGGAGCCAATGGGGAGACGGGGCGGGGGGAAGGGGGGATTCGTTGGCGATGGATGACAAAGGGTGGCACGGACCTTGTGCAAGGAGACCGCGTCTGGAAAAGGCAAGAAGGAGCACGGGGCACTTGGGGGTATGGGCCACGGGAGCGAAGCGGGAAGGACGGGGGAAGCGACAGGGAGAAGCTTTGGATGCTGACTGGATCTTTGGTGTGGCGCTTTAGGAGAGGAACATTGGGGGATCTAAGCGCTGTATCCATAGTGCGGCTGTGCAATCGTCGCTCCATGCCGTATCTCCCGATTTCTGATCTGGTGAGGAGTAGAGTCGTACTACATCGACCGAGGGGGAGATAACCGAGGGATGCTTGGCTTGAGGGATCATGCGAATCATGGAGCAGAGGCGACCCGGCGACAACTATGCTTGTCGCCTTACCCTAGAACTCGAGGAGCAGAAAGGATCAACTACCCGCCCGAATACATTCAAGACGGGTTACGATATATCAACGTTGCAGAGGGCGGTTGGGGCTGCGAGGCTTAGACTGCCCACTTTTTGAACTCACCGAGACATGCGCGGCTACGGCATGATGCGGACGTAAGCATCGAGCCTGGTCGACAACTGCCAAAGTTAATGTCAGCAGGCCCTAACCTCGGGGCTATCGAGGCTGAGGGTCAGTCGCACCTTTGTGTGGATATAAGTTGAGGTGAGGGGGAGCTCGTGTAAGAGGGTGAGACTGGCAATTTAGCAGGCGGCTGCCTCTTCCTGGAGACCGTTATCGAGGCCCATCGGGTCCCGGGTGCTGCTGAGAGCAAAGGTTTGGCTGTACGCGCCGTCCGGAATCGGGGGTGGTCGTTATTGCTAGCCGTAGCGTAGCCGCCCGGGCGGTTACGGGGAGCGGAGACTTCTGAGCGAGCGGCTGTTTCGGGAAGAGACGTGGGGCTCGGCTGTTTCTTTTCTTAGGCGGTGCCAATGTACGCGCGTATGAGAGGGTGGGCTTGTTGCCGGATGGTAACACTGGGAGAGGGGAGAGCTCTGGGAGGAAAAGAGTGCTCGTGGTGTCTTAGTGGGAGAGACAGCATGATGCGACAGCCGCCGGTAATCTCAGTTGCCGCTCGGCTCATCTGATTGCGAGAAGTCGAAGGCGCTCAGGTGGGCGAGGCTCAGGTGGTAGTACTCGGCCTCGAAGCCGCGAGATGGAAATGAGGCGGTCGATCGATGGATGTCCATGGGAGAGTTAGAATCGACGGAATAGGAGGGTTGAAGCGGTGCGACTGCGCGATGTGCTGGCACGTCTTCGAGAGGAGAGTGTGAGCGACGAGTTGGGAATGCCCTCGCGGACGAGTCGCGATGGATTCTGTCGAGACGCGAAACCAGAGCGAGACCGAAAGGGACTCGCGGATCCCGCATCGCATAGCATCGCACCGCATGTCACGACGACGCATGACATCGCGTCGAATGATCGTCGTCCACCACACGGGCGCGTCTACGCCCTGGAGAGTGCCTTTTTTTCGTCGGTGGTGTTGATATTTTGTGTCGTGTAGCGTTCGTCCCACTCTCGCCCGTCCTCATGTGGGGGACGACGCTAAGAGAAACCTGGAAGCTAGCAGAGTGGAGAAAAGATGAGCTAATGCACGGCCGAACTGCCATGTGTCTAAAAATGAGTCATAGACGCCTTGCAGGGGTGGGAAGGTGGAAACCAAGGAAAGAGCAGTCGATGCAAGACAGCTGTCGTGGACGGTGAGTGGTTGGCGAGGGAAAAGTCTCGCGGATTGAATATACACTGTAGTAGTGGAATTTTGTCAACGTATAAGGACAGTGCGCGAATAAGCGAGCGACTTCCCGCAGGCTCCGCCTCGAAGGGTCCACCTCGAGGTACGTACCCGTACCCCTTCAACATCCACCAGAAAGAACATGCTCCACCGGCTGCGTGTCCACGACCGACGGCCAAACCAAGAGACCCTGATACACCTCACCTCACCTCACCCGGTCGAACTCATTGAGCAGCTTCATGTTCTTCTTCTGCATACATGCGGCGCCAATGTACATCCAAGTGGACTAACCTACGCACACTTTGCCCCGTGTTTCAGATTTCTGGCTCTCTCAACGCCCTAGTGGGCCGGCCTCACCTCGCATTCCCATCATGCAGCCCAAGATGCCGCATTTCATCGACGAATCCACCCTTTTTTTCCTTTTGCAGTAGCTTCAATCTACCCTGTTTCCATACCCTTTGTGTCCGGCCGGGGTCAGACGATGAACGACAATCCTTCTCTTCGTCCACCGTACATGGGATACACGCTACGTAGTCGAGAAAACGTATCCATCATTCATCATTCATCCGTCGTCTGGTCTCGACCCACGATCCGTCCAACGGACCCCGGCAGCTAGGATGCGCGCAGCTCAACCCACCATTGCGTTGTACTGCCCTCCCCTGTCGTCCACGGGTGTAGAGACCCAGACTTGACCCGACGACCTGCGGTCAGTCCAAGGCTGGGGCTGGGGCCGGGGCGAAGGCCACACGCCCTCGCTCCAGTCGGCCGTCAGTCGCGCGCCGCATCACCACCACCACATCCATTGGGCTACGAGCCTCAACCCTGAGGATAAAGATGTCCTCCCCTCCCGCGCCTACTGTCCTTTTCTGTTGGCCCCCTTCTCTCTCCATGCTCATCTCGGCCCCTCGTCTCCTTTCCACTCTCGTCCTCTCATCCTCGGTCTCAGTCTTGTTATCAATATCCCTTGTTTGTTTGCTCTAACTCGCATTTCTGGATTCCCAAACAAAAGTTATATACCTAGATCTCTCGGAACGCATTGGTCTCGTTGAACGCGGCCAACTCGTCCCTGCTTCACAGCAACCCCGTCTGCTTTTGCACCGCAACGTCATTCTCAAACGCCAAAAGACTCCTGGAGCTGGCCTCCTCTCTCCCACGAAACGCCTCTCATAATCCCATAATCCAACCGTCTCACAATCACAATGTCCACGTATGAGTTCCCCCCTGCTGCTCGCCTCACTTACACCCCCACTAACGCATCATTCCCCAGTCTGGCAGCGGATACGTCCTTCGACTTCATCTTCCCCTCGTGCGAGCCCTCAACGCCGCCGAGTTTCTCCTTCGACTCTTCCCTCCTCGACCTCCTCTACCACCATAACCCGGGCCACAACCGCTCCCGCTCCAATGGCTCCGTCTTTTCCTTCATTTCTGCCGCGGACTCCACCCCGGACTCGGTGAGCACCCGCATGACGACGCCGTCTCGCGCATCACCACCAATCCGCCAACACGGCCCTCTTCTGCTTCCCAAGATCCGCTCCCAGGACCAAGCCATTGACTCGCCGCCCAAGCGCATCAAATCCTCGCCGAAGCCCCGCGCCCCGGCTCCCAGACGGGCGACCCCCGTCGCTCCCGCTGCCAACGCCGTCTTTCGTCCTGCTCACTCACGCAGCTTCACCAACCCGGAGACATTGACGTGGAATATGCCATCCTCCTACTGCAGCCAACCCGAAGAGCAGACTCCCTCTTCCCTCCTCTGCTCACCCGTCATCTTTGCCGATGATTTGCAGTCTCGCCGCGCGTCAACCTGCAGCCTCGAGGGTTCCGCCCTCGAGAAGTTTGGCTTCCCGACCTACCGCCAGATGCCCTCATACGTTCCCCCTCCTGCACCTCAGCAACCTTCAGAGGCATACATGTTCCCCTCTTACACTCCGCGTGCTCCCTCTCCCCTCAGCCTCTCCGCCGCCGCCACCCCGGACCCGACCCCCAACACCACCCTCATGACCTACCTCACCGGACCTAACCCTGCTCCCTCCCTGGTGCGCACCATCTCATTCCCTCTCCGAGACCCCAACACCAAGCACTTCTGGTGGGACATTCGCCAAATCCGCCCCTGGACCACCTTCAACGCCTCCTCCGTCCTCTCGCTTCCCGGCGCCGCTACCCTCCTCAACTGCGCCGTCCCTGCACCTCTCCTCCCTCACCCGGCTCCAACGGCCCGCCACCCGGAGACCGAAGCAGCCCTGCACAGCATCTACGCCTCCCACTACCTCCCCAAGCTCAACGCCGCGCTCGCCATCTCCTCCCACAGGCCCATGCAGCTCTCTGCCCCTGCGCCGTCCGCCAACGCCAAGCAGCCCGAGCTCCTCTTCACCGCCTCCCCCGCCGGCGAGCCCGCCTCCGCGGCTACAATCTTTGGCGGCAAACCTACCGCCCGTGTCGTCGGCCTCGTCCGCTCCTTTGACCGCTTCAACACCGGCATGCGTGTCGAGGGCAACATCAAGCGCGTAGAGTACCTCCGCGGCCTGGCCGCCCTGCACCACGCCATGCGCGAGCACTCGTGCCGATACGGCTTCATCCTCACTGAGATTGAGCTCGTCATCGTCCGTAACGGCACCGAGTCGGTCCCCCATTTTGGTCACCTCGAAGTTACTTCCGTCCAGCTCGCCGCCGTCGCCGACGACGCTAACTGCGAGGTCGGCGAGATCCCGCTGACTGCCTGCCTTGCACTGTGGGGCCTGTGCATGATGGCCGGTGACGATGCGCCCCAGCAGCAAGGCCGCGGCGGTGTCGTGGCACATTGGAAGACGGAGATTGGGGCGCCAGCCGAGGGCACGAGGCGCAAGGCGCTGCCGAGGGACGACTGGATGCCCAAGCCGCAGTTGGCGGAGAAGCGGGAGGCCAAAAGAGCGAGAGGTTGGGTTTTGCCCGAGGACCCCATTGGTAGAAAGGAATTGGGGAAGAGAGGTGTGCGGTATGGTGCTTGCTGAGAAATTTTCTTTGTTGAAATTACTTCTCCGTCTTTTTTGATCTTGGCGTTTTGAAAGAGCTGTTTTGGCTGGTTCCAGCACTCTTGGTGGGTGGCTATGGGGTACATAAAAATAATGGGAATTTATGGGATTGGGATTATGACGAATGGGCAATGACTGGATGGACAACATTGTATCTACAAGGATTTGGTAGCTGAGACGAGGACTTTCACGAGTTGATGACGAGGCATTCTTTTCACATTACACCTACCTGCAAGTTATTCAGATACTTGTAATCACAGTTCCTTTTGAGTTCAAAACCTTGCCCTCATCTCTTCGTTCTGTCATGATAAGTCCGGTGATGCCAAGTGAAATACTTGTAAACAACCGCAAACAGAGCCTTGGAACTCTGTGGTCCCCGATGGGTGTGTGCAAACATTCAAGTTTCATCCGGCGTGGTGTGCCGTGCAGTCGACCAGTGAGCGCGCTTGACGAGGCCAAATCCTCGCACAACAAGGATAAGGCTGGATCATGAACAAAACCGCCGGTCCGCCCGGGCCAACCCGAGATCGTGGGCCATGCTCTATGTTTATGCGAGTTTCAGAGCGTCTGATTTAGTTATTCTCGTCTATAATTATATTACTGTTCGCTGGTGCCATAAATTTTGACAGTCTTCTGTTTCACGAACCATCTCTGACTTGTCTTCTTTGTTTTTCGAGGCAGCATGTCCCATCATATTGAGTGTCAACTCCTCGCCACCTCTACGTCAACTACTGTGACATCGCCATGGGAACTGAGAAATGAGAAATGAAAAACCCAAGCAAAACGACACACCTCCGTGAAAGATGAAAACTGTACTCGTACTCTGGACAGCCCTCACGGCCATGACACTGGCCATCCCGCTCAGTAGGCTCTTCCCCATTGCCGAACCAGCAACACGAGACTGAAGCGAATATACTCGATTGTACTTGGGGAGCACCTTTTTTGCTCACGGAGAAGATCTAGATTCCTCGCCTGCAGACCCCGACGCCGAGATCTGTCAGGGATTTTGCGATGATGCCTGCCCCGAGGGATGGAAGAAGAAGGCCAACGACACGGGCGCTGATGCGCAGGCTTGCGTGACGGGGACCAAGGCTTGGTGTTGCATGAAGTTTTTGCATTTTCCGCCTCCGTAGCTAGCCTCCATGGCGACTGTTGTTTTCTGAGGGCTTTGCAGAAGATGCTTTATTGTTGGGATTGCGGTATCGTGATCAGAAGGTTTCTAAGGATATTCAGGACCCGTCTTTGGGGCGACTTTTGATTCTGTGCAAAAGGGGTCAAATGGCGTTTCTTTGCTTTGTTGATACATGGCCGCTGACGAGAGACCGAGGTCTTTGAAAGAGAAAGAGAACTGTTTTACAAATAATATTTGTTTTCTTTTGGGGGGAAACCATATTCGAGTGCATCACGCCCCAAACATGTAACAATCCAACTTCTAACGGCGAGCTTCCTCCACATCGTTGTCTGCCGCGCCGACGTCGACGTTCCTCCTGCGAGCGTTGCCTCCCATTCAAGTCTTATCTCCGGTTGAAAAACGTCCTTATTCCAGTGACCGCGACCCAGCCAACGACGACAACGGTGACGGCCAGCCGGATCTCCCTGACAATGTCCACGACGGCGGGCCCCACGTGGATGGCGTGGAGGTGGTTGATCGCCCCCGAGTGCGCTGCCGCGAGGCCGAATTGCTCCATCTGCAATTGTCGTCAGCCAACAAAAGCGTTTGCAAAGATTGGTTTTTTGGAGCTTTTACCGTTGTGGTTGTATTGAGGCGTGCTGTGCCGCTGATGGGATAGTAAGGGATTGACGGGTATGAGTTTGGGGTGCGTGAGGGAGAAGTTTTCTGTGGGGGGGAATGTTGAATTACGTCAACGAATCATGGTTGCGGGTTGGGCTGTTTGTCGGAGGTGGTTGACTTTGAAGTTAAGTCCCGAAAGCAAGAAATGAAAACCCAATTTGATTTGATGGGAATTTTAAGGTGGGGAAAATCCCGTTTCACAAATGGGAAATAATTAATTTTTTTGGTATGGTCCTGGTGTAAAGCATGACGGATGGTTTACGTCCGTCGCTAGTCTAGGTGGAGTGTGTAGTACCACTCAGTCAATGCCGGCTAGGGTGGACGTGGAAGGCTTCAGCCAAGTTGTCAACACACGAGCCAAATCAGGTTAACTAGCCATACTAAAGGAAGCCTTTCATAACGGGAAGAAGAACTTTTTGGAGGAAGGACCTCAGTGGTCAATGGAGATAAGAGTATCTTCCTATCCGTCAAATACAAGTGCTATTGGTTCTGATGACCAATTGACCATCGGGTCTTTCATGGCAAATATCGCAGAGGAAGGCAGACTCTGGTATTTGGAATCAAGCTTCAATAGAAGCAAAACACTTGTCAAATAGTGTCTAGTTCGGCTCATTGGCTGGTGACATATGTTACGCTTTTGACAGGTTTGGAAAATCGGAACTGACAACAAGAAAAGCTCCCAACTTATTCATGGCTGGCCTTGAGGACCTCACCAAAGGCTTCCTCCGCCAGCCCTGGACAATCGCTTGGGATAGCGTTTACAGCCTCACTACCGATTACAATTTGACAACTGATTCGTATGTGGTGGAAATAGGTTCATCTTCTGGAAGCCAACTATTGACTAGACCTAAGCATGCGCCTCACTCGCCCTGCCTTGTAGGAGGCGTAGGTGGCGGTGGTCACGGTTCACGAGCGAAGCGGCAATGATGTTGCAGAAAGCGTCAGTCATTCGGTCTGGGAGGTGAACTTGCATGTGGTGCTGCGGTGCGACAGAAGGTTGCGACTCGTGGTATTCGTGGGGAAATGCGGAGAAGCCAAATAAGATTCGAGGATCTCAATTCTTCCGCGCGGTCTTCATGTCGCAGGCCTGCGTATTTCGGATAGATCTACGACGAGCCGAGACTTGAGCACATCGATCTCGAAATTGCCAAGTTGCTGCTGGCAGCATGGGAAAGTCGCGCATACAAAAGTAACCCGTTGCTGGACTCTTTTTTTTTTTTCTCTTCAAGTCGATGCCCGCTGGAAACTGCAAAACATAGTAAACGAACGTTGCAACGACGACGAAAAATGCAGTCCCTCTTGCGCGGCCTGCCTTTGTTTGGACTTCTCTCCGGCCTCTTGGCTGGTGTACATGGATGCCAGACAGACGACGACTGCAGTCTCAACGGTATCTGCGACCAAGATGCCACCTGCATTTGCGATCAAGGATGGCGTTCCGCCGACTGCAGCGAGTTGGATTTACAGCCTGTCGAGCGCTGGACTGGATACAACCACACGAACGCGACAGGCCCGGATTTCTACAAGGAGGGCGCCGGAAACTCTTCCTGGGGAGGCCACATCATTCAAGATTGCTCAGACAAGAGGCTCTTCCACCTCATTACCTCGCAAATGTCACACGGCTGCGGTCTCTCCGGCTGGAGGCCTTTCAGCACCATCATCAGGGCTGAGTCTCGCACGGGGCCGAGGGGCCCGTACAACTACGCTCAAACCTTGTTTAGCACTTTCCACCACAATCCGACGACCATCTGGAGCCCGGCTGATGAAAAGTTTCTAATCTACTTCATCGGTAAAGACGTCGAGGTCGGTGACGTCTGCAAATCTCAAAAATGGAACAACACAATCTCGGTATCCTCGTCCCCGGACCTCAGAGAATGGACGACGCCCATCCCGCAAGTCATCAATGTCACAAACCCGGCGCCATGGCCGCTGTGGTCAAACGAGAACCCTACCCATGAAATTCTACTCGCTGTGGAGAAGAACAACATCTATCACGCAGACAACTTCGCCGCCCCGCATGAACTTGTTGTAGAACCACGCAACACGGAGCGTAGCGAAGATCCGTTTCTTTGGAGAGACAAGCGAGGTCACTGGCATATTCTGGTCCACCACATGATTGATATTGCGCAAGGGCGAAAAGGGCCGCACGTTGGAGCACACGCTTACGCTCGAAAGTGGGAGGGCCCTTGGACGTACGACAACAATACCTTGGCTTACAACACCACTGTTGAGTTTACCGATGGCGTCAAATTAGACTACTATCGCCGGGAAAGACCAAAGTTGTACTTCAGCGATGACGGTCAGATGATTCCGCTATACTTGCTGAACGGGGTGCAAGAGTTCAACACTTCGGGAAGTTATACCTTGATTCAACCAATTGGCAAGGAAGCAAAGAAGTTTGAAGAGAGCCTTGGACTCGATTGAAACTGTGAGGTTCGAAGGCACATGTGCTGTATATTTTAGCGCTAGTTGCAAAGAATGACTTCAACTTGTTTGACAGTACAGCCAATGGGGCCGAGAAATTGCCTCGAGGCCGGTGACCAAGATGCCACATAAAGCAGTTGCGCAAAGAAGTGCTCTCTCAGAGATGCCTTCAATTTCACTACGCACATAAACAGGGTGGTCTGCGTCAATACTACTACTACTTCGATGTTATGACTAGCGACAAAGATGGCTAGCCTCCTTTAACCTTCTGGAGAACCACGCGAGAACCACGATGGGTCAGGGGGAGGGAGTCTTTTTGGCACGGACAACTCGGGTCTCCTTGTGCCCCCTAATCAGAACTCTACGGGACATTTGACAGCCGCGCGCAGTCACGAACTGGAAGAAGTGTGCCAAATTGGACGACAATGGCGGTCGAAGGTAGGTTATCAATCTATTGACACGGGGAGATGCAACCTTGCGCTGACTCGGTCATGTCCAATGGGCCCACAAAGAACGCCGCAGCTTGATGAAGGTTCTTGGTCCATCAGCCTGGGCATTGCTGATTCTGGAAATTGGACAGCTTCAATGGGCATATCAAGGGTTGATTGTAGATAATAGAGATCGGTGTGCCAAGCAATGCCCCCCTGCGGAAGACATGTGCAATCAGTTTCCAATGTACCTCGGTTCCGATTCTGGTCGGCGATTCTGAGAGTGAATCACTCAGATCTCATTTGACTAATGTACAACAGAAGCATTTACTGATCTTGTGATAGAATTGGTGGTTCGTCTCATTTGCCATGCCCCCTGCATTCCGTCGTCTTCGGACCCAATTAGCATTTCGAACGCCGTGCACGCTTGCAGTGGACAGATTTAACTCGCTTGATTCTTTTATCCACGGGAAGTTAGATCTGGTCGAGCCCAAGGGTGACACTACCTAGACCCACTACCACTCAATACAATGTGAAACATATTAATCTAACTATATAATTAACTTAATTTAAGAATTGGAATAAGATAATTACTACGCCGTTATTCTATATATTTTTTTAAATTACTTTCTTAAATATTAAAGTATAAAATGAAGTATTGTAATTAGTTTATTAATTATAAAAATTTATATTAATAAAAATTCAGGCTATAAAAACAGCTACAATATTTATAATTAAATAAGTTTTTAAACATATATATAATAGTTTCTAAATAAATAAAACTTTAACAATTTATAAAATAAAACTTTAATAAATAATTAAATTTTAATTAATAAAGGCTTTATAAAAAAATTTATAAAACAACTAAAAAAAATAAATATTAATTTAATTTTTTAAAGAGAGAAAGTTTGTTTTTAAGCTTCATTAAAGATTATATTATATTCGACTATTATTTTTTATATGTTTTGTTAATAACTACATAATAAGAAAATAAACTTTTAATTAGTTTTTATAAATACTTATTTAATAGGTGAAAATGTTTATTTAATTATTATATAATATAATCTTTTACTCTTTATTTTTATAAACAGTATTAACATTTTAATATTTTTAATATTTATAAATTTTTATAAACATTTAATATTTCTTAAATTTGCTTTATATATAGTTATAGTTATAGATATTTAATTATATTAGAAACTTTAAGAAGCTATAGCATATTTTATTAACAAGCAGAATCTATATCATAGGATTCTTTAATCAAAATCAGTAAAATCAATGGATATAGATGGGTGGGAAAGGGGTGAAAAAGGGCGTGGGTGGTAGGGAGCGGGGAAATGGTGACGTATAATGAACGTGTCATTCTTTCTAATAACTGGGTGCTGGGATCGAGTTAGTTACAAGAGCCGTCATTTTCCTACAATGTTTATTGCGCCTGTGACATTTCCCTATAGTCACCCAGTAGTTTGGTCACGTGTTGAGGCGACCCCGTGTATATAAACGGGCTCGCCGTGTCCCTCTACTTAGGAAAGATAATAATAATAATATATTTATTACAATACTTATCTTACTATTCGCCTTACTTTTCTATATTACTCTTCCATATTGCTCTTTAATCGCATTACTCTTTACGATTAATACGCCTAACCCATATACCTACCCGCTTAGCCCACAGTCCTACCTCCTCTGTCAGAGGTGCCCTCTGCCAGAGAGACTGTGTCAGCGCCGTCTTGCTTCATCAATTCTATTCCAGCAGAGATCCTAGACTGCGAAAAGGAAAGCAGGTCTTCATTGCCAGTATTCACTTCAATTACCTTGCTTCATTCGTTCCTGGTGCGTTCGCATACCTAAAGATTTGCGGGACTTCACTGACAGTATCAAAAGTAGTCATTTATTCCAACATGCGTTCCACCATCCTCTTGCCTTTCCTAGGCCTCATGAGCAAGGCCTTTGCCGCTCCCATTGACATAATTTTGAATCCTCGCGCAGTAGTCGCCCACGATTCCCTGAGTCCTCTCCCCACGAGAGTTCAGAACAATGGTATCGGCAAATCCATCGTACGATTCAACCCGCTTCTTCATATTGCTCACGGTTGCCAACCGTACCCGGCTGTCAACGATGCCGGAGACACAAGGTGGGCTCCTATAAGGTCACTTCAAGGCTACACGAGGCTAATGTTGGGAACAAGTGGCGGCCTAAGTCCAACCGGTACTTCCAGCGGTGGCTGTAGAGACACCAGCAAGGGCCAGACCTACGCGAGAGGCGCATGGTATAGAGGCAAGTACGCCATCTTGTACGCATGGTTCTTCCCGAAAGACCAGCCAATCAATGGCGTATTCATCGGCTCGCACAGATTCGACTGGGAGAGCGCGATTCTCTTGCTCAACAACCCGGAAGTCGCGAACCCGACGATCCTGGGTGCAGCGGCCTCGGGCCACGGCAACTACAAGAAGTCGACTAATCCGCCATACCAGAATGATAGCATAAAGGTGGAATACTTTACAGAATATTTGCTGAACCATGCGCTCCAATTCACGGATACTGTCGGCCGTACGTACCCGGTCCTTGACTGGGACGCCATGCCGAAGGCTATGCGCAATGCTCTCAGCAACACTGACTTTGGCGACGCAAACGTGCCTTTCATTCCCGCGAACTTTTTCAACAATCTCGACAAGGGATTCATTTAGGGAACGCGAGAACGGCATCAACTTCAGTGGATTGATTAGAGCTTGGATGGTGTTACGCACCGACATATGTGCTTTCGTCCCTATTCTCATGATCATATTAACTCTCCCAATGTAAATATTCTGCTCACCATGAACAAGCAACGAGACAAGACTAGCAGGCATCTCACACAATACACAACCATGAACTTTGAAGACTGATTCATCACTAGCCTGCTTGTGTGCACTCTGGCAACGCATGTCTCCTTGAGTAACTAAGTACTTGTGTTATGAAGCTAAACGCACAAGAGAATGACATTATGGCTGCTTAAACATTTCGCGGGCCATCTACAGCCGTAGCCGTAGTAGTCACAGCAACTGGGTTGGCGACCACCTTGGTGTCCTCAGCAAGAGAGTCATTCGCGTCTAGCTTCGTGTTGTTCACAGGTCGCTCGGGCACAAGCAAGACAGCCCAGGAAGTTGCAGGGATGCAAATGACAAACATGACGAACGCAACGATGAGATTAACCATGGGAGTGACCTTGACTGCGCCAATGCCGAATGCCAAGCACGAGCCGATGGACTCGAAAGACCGAACGAGGCCAACGCCGAGAGTCAGAGTCTCAATGTCGTCGAAGAAAGTACCCATGATCCAATAGACGAACATATAGTGCGATTCGTTCATAAAGCTTTGAATTGTCAGTATTGAGATCATCAGCGAGGAAAGGTGATGGGAATGAACGTACCGGAAGAGCACGTTGACTGCAAATCCGCGTCCGAAACCGGGGGTGTCCCAGTCAAGGGTGATTTTGGGTACCGTATCCTCATAAAGCTTCTCGTTGGCCACCTGCCAAGCGAATAGGCCCAGCATAATCACTGAGAAGCAAGACCAGGTAATTTTGGCAAGCTGAGGGCGGCTGAAGCACTTCAGGTCGTAGAACCAGCCCCAGAACATGTTGGCAGCAGATGCCGCGATACCGGACGTGAGGGCGCCCAAAGTTCTCGCTCTGACGGAAAAGTACTTGGTAAGGTAAATGCCCTGGTAGGTGCTGTTCCAGTTGAAACCGATGAGGATGGGGATCAAGAGGTAGAACTGCTTCTTCTTGAGCAGCTTGAGCCACTTGCGGAATTCTCCTAGGACGGCCTTGTTCTTGGTCGGGTCGGCAACCTTCCTGCCGTCGCTGTGAATGACCTTTTGCGGAGGTGACACGAGCAACGCCAAGGGAAGACCGAGGCATTGCAACGCGATCAGGACTAGGTAGGTCGAGTATCCGACTTTTCCGCGCTGGTTGACCTTGACGTTGAGCGAGAGCTGGATGGCGGCGCCGAGAAGCTGTCCAAGCTCACGGAGACCTAGCCAGATACCGGTGAACTTTCCTCTGTCCTTGATGTCGGCGTATCCTAGTGCAATGGCACCTTCAGCTGCCCACAATGCAGAGGCAGCAATACCGCAGGTCGCGCCGCCGAACAGCACGAACCATTCCACGCCGTAACGATTGTTGACGTACATGGATGCCGAGTACGGTGCGTAGCCGAGGGTGCCAATGATTAGGACCGTCTTCAGGCCAATCTTGTTGGCCATGATGGCGAAGAAACTGCAGCCAAAGACCATGATGCCAAAGGTCAGAGAGTTGGAGCCATTGACGAGGTAAGGCTCTTGCTGGCCACCAGCGCCGGTACCTTTAGATCTCGATTAGCCCTTATTCTTTATCTAGGTAAGTGAGGAATATTGCATACTATTTAGAGCATTCCAGATACCAGGCTGCGTGAAGGAGATCAAGCCCACGAGGATGACGTTGAAGAGAGGCGAGCGGTACCAGCGCGTGAACCGAGACACAGGCTTCGTAGGCTGGACATCCTGAACCTCTTCGTCGACCTCTTGGGGTTGCTTTGCGTGATCGATTGACGACATTGCAGCAAAGGTCACTTTTTTTCGATCCCGACGCAACGGATAAAGGTCATGCAAGTGCGGGAGGGAAATGGGGTCCGTTCGACGTTGAGCTTTTTAAGAAAATGCCGATTCCTTCGACGTCTGCATCGCTTCAAACACACCCACCCGTCCTGCGGGATATTCATTGCCCCTCCAGCAAAAGCTCCAAGCGGCCAACGTCCGTGATGTAACACCAGTCTGATTTTTTTTCGTTCCTTTGTGTCTCCTCCCGTAAAACCCCCCCACCCTGCACCTGTTTCTGGGCTTTGCGGCTTGTCAGATACCGGGTCCAGTTCAGATTGGTTGAGACGGACCGCCAATGGGCTCTAATAAGCTTGGTTCGCGTGGCGTTATTGTAAATCGTAATTAGGCAATCCTGGCCAGCGCCGCCCGATGGACTCAAAGGTACGGATACACTAGGACGACCTATCCCTGGTGCATGCCGCCGGCGCAAGCACGCCTCGCCGGCGCACATGCGCAAAAAGAAACGTGGAGTTGGACTCCAGGATGGGGGTCGGGATTGCGTCCGACATCGCGTCGTGCTTGCATGGGTGCGATGGCGACATCTGCAAGCGGGTGCCGGTCCCCATAGCTCCGGGATGATGGCGCGAGACGATTCTACCCAAAAGGAAGAAAAGCTTTGGATAGGGAAACAAAGTAACTCTTTCACATAGAAATTTCGGTATGCAACAGTGTATTTCAACGTCATATTTACTGACGACGGCCTGCCAGTGAGGAGGAGAATTGCTGAAACGGGATCCAATGCCGAGACGCTTTGACTAGCACCATGCGGCCCCGCTTTGGGACTTCCGGCTCCGTATCCGAAGAACACCGGGCTTCTCTTGGCCTCGGCGGCATCCATCCGGATGTGCACAATAAGCACATTGTGGCCAGAGTCTGCTGAGTTGGATACTTGTCGCGAACCTTGGTCCTGATTGAAAGCGCATGGCGCGGTGCATTTCCAGAAATTGGATCTGAATAGCATGGATGAATTCGCCCTGTGACCACATGTGGATGGCTTGATAATTGCCAATAATAATGCTAGCAACTTACTCAAGTCAGGCGTACTATCCGAGTTGAGCTAAGCACGTTCCAATTGCCAATGAACGACCCAAAGCCCAGCTGGGTCATCCCCACAACGAGTTCGGATTGAGTTCACACTTCCCTGCATCTGCTTTTTTACCTTGATAGGAGCTAAGACCGGACCATGGTTTGTGGGTTCCCGTGTTGCAGGGGGCAAAGGTCCAATCCGTGGCTCGACTGTTCTACACCGCATATGAAAAGTGAATCAGCCCAATGTTGCCCATGTATTTGAGAAGAGAAATTTGGCTTCAGCACTTGCCGCTTGCGAATCTGACCTCATGCCGGGCTTTCGAGATACTGCTAGTAAACATCACCCTTGTCATCAAATGAACATCATGAACAAGTTTCCAACTATTGGCCCCGATGCTGTTTAGCCACGTAATCAAGGTGCTGTAATTATTAGACAACGGTTGCAGCTCATCGAGGAAAGTGACAATTATTATATCATTAGAAAGGCTCCATATGGAGTAAATCATAGTAGTACACTTATTTCACGACTGTCAAAAACGAGGAAGGCAGTTCATCAGACGCCGGGCGCCCTGCAAAGCAGAGCTGAGCCACCCTGGTAACCGCTGATTAGCCAATGAAAAGCAGAAAGTTTGGATGGTGACTAGGAAACGCACAACACTGAGGGTGCAGCATCGGGGTAGTCGGCCTCCATCAATCAGACAGGCGGCTTGGAATCCAAGGACGGTAATTGGAGTTGCCGCGGCTGTAACCATGGGTCAGCTCAAAAAGATTTACACCAGATTGATGTAAAACCCGCGATCAGCCAGGAGAACGTACGCGCCACGCAGTTGAGGGAAAGTATATTGCCGAGGACATCGGATGCGCAACATAGTGGAGTGGTTCCGGTACAGACTGCGGGAAGGATGGAGAGCCTTTCAACAAGGCTGGAGTCGATGGGGTAAGTGCCCAGTTCGGTGCGCTGGACGTTTGCTGGAGCAGCCATGGAAAGAGACGAGGAAAGACCGAGGAGGACAGCTGCGGTCTTCATTTTGGGACTGGAGGTGAGCTTCTAGGATGTTGTTGTCTCGCAGAAAGAAAAGTTGAAGAGTTGGCGTTTCTGAGTTCAAGGAATTGGGTGATGTCAGATGTTCTCTGCTCAATCCTCGAGAACGGGGACGGATATTTGTAGACTTGGGTGATACTACAAGTGCATCCAACGATATCTTCTGATTGATCCAAAGTGTTGAGTGCAGAAGGGTCAGCTTCGACTTCTCGTCTTCTTCTAACAACGGAAGCTGAGTACGGTTTCGTCTCTGCCAAGGGTCCTCAGTATCCGAAGTCCGAAAAACAAAGGCGGCCCATTCCATATATTGTGATGGTGGGCCGGCCGATCATTGCGGAGAGTCGCCGGTTGGGGAATCATTCACCATAACTTCCTCGTTCGCGGGCCGGATCCGGGAGGCTGAACGATGTCTCAGTACCACCAATATCATCCCAACGGCTTTGATCTCGCAGGTCAACTCTCCGGAAGTAGGTCTGAACCTTGTTTCCCTTAATGAACCGGACTGTTACCTCTCAGGATCGTTCAACTCTCGTACTTCGTGTTTTTCCTTTTCAGCAATAGAACCAGGTATGCGGGAATCGTAGCATCGCAGTCATTGGACTTCGAGCGGGACGGGACACTGAAACAGCATGGCCAATGAATTCAAGTCTCCAAGAGCACTTGTATAAACCATCACCATGATCTAAATGCCGCTCAAGTTTAGCGCATCGTTCACGGATGGTGGAGTCGAAGGGTTCCCCATTCGTCACTGTGGCTTCGTCGCCAAGCACGCCTCTTTACGTACACATTCAGTGGACCCCTCACCTTAACGTCCGGGTGATTGGCAATGAGAGAGAATGACGCAGTATCATTTGCATCTATTGCGGTCGACGTTTGCAGCTCGAAGGCCCGAGTGCTCGAACATTACGAGAATCTGTTACTTGAAAAGCTTCCGGGATTGGCCTCGTTACTCATAGTATTGTGGGTATTTTGGCTGACTGCGATATGGGGCAATTTTAATCTCTCTTCAGTACCTTTTTGACGAACTTGTAATTACACATATCTCACTTCTTTCTTTTCCCTTCATTTTGCAGAGCAGTGCTATTTAGTCAGCCTCTCAGTGTGCCTTCAAGCCTCAGTCCTCAATTCTGGACGAGATTCAAGGACTTGACTTTCATCTTTACACTCTGGGCTAGCCGACCTGCTTGTGTCATTGCGTGAAAAGGCCCGAAAGCCAAGCGCAGATGGAAAGCGAGCTCTTGCCCTCTACAATGGGAAATGGAACACGGACAAGTTGAAGAGTTTGTCAACATTAAAAAAAGGCAGGCGATTCTCTTATTGGATTCAAAAACGACATATGCTCTGGACCTCCGAGCCCCAGACCATGGCCCACGTCAGGACTAATCAACGTTCAACGCCATGGGAACTGTTTTGGAAGCGTGAAGAAATTATCTAGTTGGGGGGCATATTCCTGTTTGAATGTTCAGGACGAGAAGGACGATAATGACAAGAATATAATTGCATATACACCCACCATTAGGTATTCACAAACCCCGCATGATCTAATACCAACCCTGTAGTCCGATGGTAAACCGACTCTGGTCCTTCTCCAGACCCTCCCGAAGCGCCTTGAGCTCCTCAACATCCCAGTTCGCATGTATAAATCGTCCATTCAAGAATGCAGCCTCCTCGCTGACCGCCCACACGACAAAGTCCCCAGACAGCGCAATGTCGTCGTACGTCAGCCCAAACGCCTCCACGCTCGCCCCAAACTTCTCCGACATGGCCGTGCCGCCGATGAGGCCCGGGTGCACCTGCAAGACGAAGAAGCCCGGGTTCTCGTCGCGGAAGTACTCAAACATTTTCGTCGCGGCGCTCTTGGACGCGCGGTAGGCCGAGTAGCCAAACATGTAGGGGAGGTGGATTGCCGCCGTCGAGATGTGGATCACGGCGGCGTGGGGCGCCGCGAGGGGTTGGAATGCGCGGAGGAGGTGAAAGTTGCCGCGGACGGAGATTTCAAAGGCGCGCCACCAGTCTTCCGGGTCCGAGTCGGGGATGGATTTGAGGTCAGCCATGTAGCCTGCGTTGGCGACGAGGATGTCAATCTTGCCCCCGTTGACGGAGCCGGCAAAGGAGGTGACGGCGTCGGTGGTTTCTTTTGCGTTGGTGACGTCGGCGGTGTAGAGGAATACCTTTGTCTCTGCGTGCAGGGCCTCGATGGCGGTCTTGGTTTCTTCGAGGGACTTGAGTGTGCGCCCGAGGAGGCCTAGGCTTGCAATGCCGGACTTTGCGAGAGACTTTGCGACGGAGGCGCCGATGCCTGCGCCGCCGCCTGTGATGAAGGCGCTTTTGCCCTTGGTTGAGAGCTCCGGGCGGGTCGGGGAGATGGCGGCGTACGGCTGCGTGTGGTAGGTTTTGGTGGGAGCAGGGAACGCCATGGTGCTGATTATCGCGAGTGTTGGGATATCTCTGGAAGGGTTGGAAGTGTATTTGAAACTGGTTTTAATAGGGAACGAATGTTTTTCTTATTTGATCTTCGTCGTCGTCTTATAGATCAGAAGTCCAGGCAGTTGTGGTGTCCAAAATGGCACATCGTCGTGATCCCTATGCGTCATTACCCCCCCTTCACTGGCATCATTCCTTGCCTGTATGACATTGCCTTGATTGAGAATCATCTTGCTATGTCAGCTATTGTTTAAATGCGAGATTGTCTCCAAGAAGTAGGATTGCGAACTGGAGACGATACGTACAACCGACAACGTTTTGGAGTCGGACTCGGACAAAGTTGACGAGACCCGCGGTCACAAGCGCCAAGTCCGGGCGGTGCGCCGAGTCAGGCGATAACGTTATGGATCGGCTTCCGGGCGAGGTCCCGCACGTCTTTGCTGACACGACACACTGTCGATCACACAGTGAATTTACTGTATCCGGTCTGGCTGATAAATCCTCCCTCGACTTCAACAAAGATACGACGACCCCAGGTATTTCTCATCAACGATAACGTTAACTCGGCCCATGTCGAGCCGGTTTACTTGCTGTATCGTTTACCACCAACGGTCGTGAGATTCTACCAAGGAGAGAGGAATGAGTCCAACCGATGCCGAGGTGATGACACCTGCAGAGATCCCGTCCCGGCCGTTCCGGCCAAGATTTCACTAATGCATCCCAGGCCCGGCGTCGTGAGCGCGGTGTCATTGCTCAGCGCGAGTACCGTAAGCGACACGCTTCCAAGGTTCAGAGGCTTGAAGACGAAAACAGAAAGCTCAAGGATGCCATCGCCGAGATAAACAGGACACTAAAAGGGCGAGGGCACCTATCAGACGATTTGAAGGCCGCTCTTTCCCATGCACGGGGCCTTGCCGATATCAGTGAAGATGACGCCGTTGAGCATGCCGGCGCCCAAGATGTTGTTGAAGAAGAAGAAGAAGGACCACTACTGGACACCCTGGCCAGAACGCCAACACCGCCATCACTAAACCGACCAACACTCGAGCCCCAAGGCTCATCAAAAGATTTCCCCAGCGGCAGACTGAGTCCCCGCCTAGACTACGGTCTCTGGCTAGACCCAGACCGCCTCATCCGCGTCCTCGAACCCCCCATCGACATTGTCCCGTACCTGGGACCCGGCATGCACACCCTCGCCGGCTGCATCTTTTGGTCCACCATGAACTACGCCGTCGAGCTCTGGGACGCCCGCCCCTCCATGCCTGCGATCAGGGCGCTGGACCGCGTGTTCAATCATTCCAAGCATCTCTCGGACCGCAAGTACCTTCTCTCCCTCGCCCAGGCGCGGATGGACTACAAGAACAAGGGCTACATGTTCCGCAAGCTGTCGGACCAGTTTGCAGAGCAGGCCTGCGTAGAACTGGGCGAGCTCGTCAGGGAGGATTACGAAAAGGGGGGGAGGCCGAAGGGCTTTTGGAAGACGCCAGAGGAGGTCGCGGGCAATATCCTCGGCCAGATCACCACCGACCAAGCTGTGCGGCTCCAGGCCGTCGTGGAGGGAAAGGGTACGCCCAACGATGGGGAGATGATGCAGGGGCTCGTGTCGTGGCTTTCTCAAAACCACGTGTGCTTCGGCGACGGGCCCCGGTGGAGCGCAATTTGCGTCTCTGTCGGCGTCGGCGGCTGGATTAGGGAGCTCATGGACAGGGACGCTCGCGCGGAGGAAGAGGCTTTTCCCGAATCGACCGAAACGCCATCTTGATTGAATACATGTCTCCTTGAGAGCATTTTTCTACCACCTTAGAGCTCCATCCGAATGGCTCGCTGAGCTAGGTCTGTCCTCCACTCGGGATTATCAAGCGGTCCATCCTCCTCGTCATATCCAGACCAACGACCCCTCGTGGCAACGTGTGTGTTCATCCCCAGACACTGCACGACATTGGAGCCGGGCCCATCCCTGGATTCGCCATCGTCGACAGCCTCACAAACGAAAAAGGCCTTTCTACCATCGAGCCACTCACCCTCAGCCAAGGCCCCGTCCCACGGCCTCTCCCAGTCTCCCGCATAGAAAACCACCTTTCGCAGCGCATCGCCCACCTTCTTCTCCCGGAGATGTTCAAACAGCTCGGCGGCGTGACTGCGCGTCAGAAGCGGCTGCTCCATGGCACCCATTCCGCCGCTGCAGTCCGGCGACGCCTGGTCCATCTTCCACTGTTCATACGGCCCCATCCCCTCCTTGGAGACACCCAGCTGGCGCCGGCACTCGCTCGCAATCTCCAAAAAGATTGTCACGTTGGTGACTTTTGGAAACTCCGTCACCAGCGCGTCAAAGTGCTCCATTGGCCACGTCCCGTTTCGGTTGATGTCGAGCGTGATCTTTTCCAGGTTGGGCGCCATGCGCCCGAGCTCCGAAATCTCCTCCGCCGTCATGACCCTCCGCTGCCGAATTCCGCTCTCCGCCTCGCGCCACTCGAGGCTCTTGAGCGACTGCGCGTGGTGTCGCAGGATCGGCAGCACGGACGCGCCGGTCACGCCGCTGAATATCCAGGAGAGATGCGTCAGCGAGTTCTCGGGGACCCCCACGATGAGCTCCTGCGCCCAGGCACCGTAGACTTTCAACGAGCGAAGCGACGTCAAGTGTGGGACCAGCCGCGCGACGTCGGGATGGTGGCCTCTCGTAGGCCTCAAAGCAAATTCCTTGATGTGCCCGAAATCCATGGCATCGAGCCACAGTTCCAGATTGGTCTTGGCCTTTTGCTCTGCAGATAACGGAAGATACCTCGCCCACTTCCACGCCCTGCCGGAGCCCATCCATTCCATCGTGTCCCAGAACCTAGAATTCGTCCGATAGGGCGGTTGCTGCAGTTCCTCCCACAGCCGGTCGCCGAAATGATACCCCTCGAGGTCCAGCGACTCCAGCTTCGAGGGGTACTTGGATCCAGAGGCAAGGTCGAGCGGAAAGTTCCATCGGTCGGGGTGTTCCGAACACCCTATGCTTGCGACGCGAAGTTTGAGGCTTTTGATGGAGTCGCAGTCAGATAGGGTGTTGTGGACGTCGCGCATGGTCGCCAGGAAGGGGTCTCCGGGCTCGCGTCTACCGTAGCGGTCGTCTTGGCCCAAGGGGACGACGGTGTCGATGTATGTTGGGCATTTGGTGGCGAAGCCCTTTGGTAGGCTGAAGGATGCGGTGGCCGCGAGGATGAAGAAGGAGAAGAGGAATGCGTTGCGGAGAGATGAGTACATGATGTTGACGATGGGCTTGAATGATCATCCCCGTCGCGTCCAGTGTTAAAAGGGTCCTTTGCCAAATTTTCGATGGAAGGATGGAGAAATCAATGGCATGATTAGATGCAATCACTTGCAAATGGCCAGGATTCTTTTTGTGCTCTGACTGGTGATGTGGACGGTAGATAAGATCTGTCCTGAATCCTTCCAGGCTGCCTTATTAGCTGGGGGATCTGTGCCACCACATCGTTCCAGGCAGCCAACGTCAATCGGTCAATGGGATTTATTTTTGCAACCGAAAAGTCAACTACGGCTGTGTGGAAACGTAACTTGTAATCCGGGCAAACTCAAGACGCGATAGTTAAAAAGATGGTTCCTGTAAACTATCTCGACTTTTTCTACCGTACCCTACGCCAAGTAGGATTTACAGGGTAAGGTACCTACTTACTTACCTTAGATCAGGCAGAGAAGAAGTGGCCTGTTCTGTTTGTCTTAGGTAAGCACGTAGGGTATTTGGTGACATTCTTTCTCTATTTTATTGGCCAAACGCCAAGACTGGATCACACCCAGCGACACTACCTCGGCCGGGCATAAGGTAATACCTGCCTCACCTGCCTCACCTATCTCGCTCACCTATCTACCTTACCCTAACTCGACGCGTTCGTCTTCGTATGACCCTTCTCTTCTTAATCACCAAGCTTCAACGAAATCTAGTCTACTGTGTCTGTGCGACCGTCTTTTTAAAAATTAATCATTGTTCCATGCACACGTTGGCGACTAGCTGTAGACTCCGGCGTGGATTTACAAGGCTGCGATTTTGCATCGCAGAACTCTCATAAAAGCCGGTCAACACCGACCCTCGCTCCCAAACAGGGTCAATCTCACTCACTGCAATTCAGGCATTTGTTACGTCTCCTATTGAAAGCGGCAGTTCTGTCGTGTTTTGTTATTGATCTGCTTGAAAAACAAGGAGGAGTCAGGGGTTCGGGAAGTCTCCTTCTTGTCTACGGATTTATGTTTCCTTCCTGACCGCCAAGCAGGCTTATGTGGACTACCATGTCTCAATCTGAGCCACCTATCGACCGAGGTAAATGGCATGAGACTAGAAGCTGATGCGGAGCTCAAGCCGATGCTGGATTTCAAAGCGAGCAAAGCTCACGCCTTCCATGTCTGACGACCATGTGGAAGACATGCGCGCTCTACATCGAGCTGCCATGATGTGGACTGATGTCTACGAACGTATGAGTGGCCAAGGTCTAAAGACGGCAGAGCAGAGACGGGCTGGGCAATGGCGAATACTCCCCGCTTTCAATTATCTGGCTGTTTTGAGTCAAGAATGCCTCGATCCTGTCTGTGACGAGGCGCTGCCAGAAATAGTTGCACGCATCAAAGTCTCCATGAGCCATGCCTCCTTGGAGGGGATGCAAATACCACACTGGTAGTCAAGACCCAATCCGAAAAGACTGTCAAAGGAGATATGTACAAAACAAGTGGCTTGATTCTGCCAAGCGAGGATCTTAGAAGGGCTAGTCTATGTGCACGCCCCAGGGAGCAAGCCCATGGGACAGCCGTTCCGTGGTAGGCCTTGTTCGGCAGTATGCTGGGCAGCGCCAAATGTGGCGCTGCGCCAAGTTGAAATCTTTTGGTGCGCCATGGTCCGCGCGAGCCCACATCGCATTCCTGACTCGAGTTCTGTTTGAGATTCTCTGGGTACTCTCCCAAAAAGGCCGTCCCCATGCCGGTCAAACCAGTCAATATCGGTTCGAGTACCTTGTTATCGAAGGATTCCAAATTACACTAGAAAATCAAGAGGGTCCCCAGTACAGAATTACAGTTTAATTACACCCGGCGATTAAGGTTATCTGGGATGTTGGGAACTCCAAAGACAACGGGTACACATCCCAGCTAGACCGATGTTTAAACTCAATTGAGCAGATATGAAAGGATATTGTAATTGAAACGGTATACCGGGCGGACTAAAGCCGTCCGTCGCGGCCGCTCATCAAACCTTGATTAACGTAACGTCCCACGCCTATCGACCGGCACATCCGTAGGGGGTTATACTGCATCGCGACGGGGACATGATCCTCACGCCTTCACTTTTCACTCTCAAAGCTTCATTCGTCTCACTCGCAAAACTGGTCCACTGCTGCTCTCGCGCTCCCTTAGCACCAAAGCCTCATTTCGATTCTCTGCGGTGCCTCAAGGTACCTCCGGTACGATGAAAGTCCTCATCGCAACGATGCCCTTTGCGGGCCACATCCATCCAATGCAGCCCATCGCCCTCGCCCTCACCCGCCGGGGCCACACCGTAGGCTGGCTCACTTCCGAATCCCACGCTCACCTGGTAACGCCGACCGGCGCAACCTTCCTCCCTTCCCCGCGCGCCCTCGCCGCGCACGATGAGACCCCCCTCGCCCCGGACCCAGACGCCTCGGGCCTGGCCGCCGTCGTCTCCACTCTCCGGAAGCTCTTCCTCGACAGGGTACCCGACCAGGTGGCAGCCTACCGCGCCGTCCTCGAGACCTCGTTGCAGGCGGACATCCTCGTGGTGGACCTCTGCGCCTACGGCGCGCACTGCCTCCGGGACCTGACGGGCCTGCCGTACGCGACGCTGGGGATCAACCCGCTCGTGACTTTCGACCCGGAGGTCCCGCCGTGGGGCACGGGGTGGCTTCCGCCCACGACCTTTGTCGGCCGCTGGATCAATGGTCTCGCGCACGCCATCGCGAACCGGCTGCTCTACCCGAAGCTCACGACCCTGCTCAACGCCCATCGGGCACAGCTTGGGCTGCCCGCCTTGCCGCCGTCGGGGTTCTACGATTCAACGCGGTCGGATAGCCTCCACATCATGATCACCACGCCGTCTTTTGAATTTCCGCGCAAGAACCTGCATCCGGGCGTCAAGTTCGTCGGGCCGCTCCTGCCGTTATTCACCGAAGACGCGCTCGCCCCGCCGCCCAAATGGTGGGACGAGATGCTCGCCCACCCGCGGGAGAAGGTCATCCACGTCACGCAGGGCACCTACGCAACGAATTCGGCCAACCTCATCGGCCCCACCCTCGCGGCGCTAAAGGACCGCGCCGACCTCCTCGTCATCGTCACAACCCCGGATGCCGAAAACGCGTTGCCCGCATCCACGCTCCCCGCCAACGCCCGCGTGGCGTCCTTTATCCCGCACGCGAAGCTCCTCCCGCACGTGGGCGTCATGGTCACGAACGCGGGCTACAACGGCGTGGTGGCCGCGCTGAGCTGCGGGGTGCCCATGGTGTGCGCGGGGCGGACCGAGGACAAGATCGATGTGAGCTCTCGGGTCGCGTGGAGCGGCGCCGGGATCGATCTCAAGACGGATACGCCGAGCGAGAAGGCGTTGCGGACTGCGGTGGAACGAATCATCGCCGACGACAAGTTTCGGAGAGCGGCCGAGAGGGTGTGCGTGGATTTTGGCAGCCACGATGGGCCGAATGAGGCGGTCGATGCGCTGGAGGAGCTTGTTCAGCGTACTCGGAAATGAGAGGTCATGCGGGCCGAGATTATCGGGGATTTCGCATCGGCGTCGGGCGGCTGACGTTTTCCCCCCGTCTCGGGGCCGAGCGAAATCTCCGCCTCCGGCGCTGCGTGGTATCGGAGGCTGGGTCAGGATCGTCACCTTGATAGCATGGCATATCTAGCGCCGATGCTTGGCAAATAGTGTAATGCTCAATTATTTAGCGAGGTATCATTCTCTATCAACAAAAAAGGACCAGTTATTCTATGTACCAAAGCATGCTCCGAAATTGCAGGCCCGCCCTATGAAAGCGCCAATGCAAAAAAAAAAAAAAAAAAACTGTATCGTAGCGAATCGAACAATGCTTTCTAGGTGGCTCTGAAACATCTGAAATATCCGTACGTTTATTTGAAGCTCTTCACCTTCTGCATGCTGCCTTCCTCGACCAGGGCCTTGTGGAGGTCAAAGGTGTTGAAGAGCAGGTGAGGCTCGTGGCCCATACCCTTCCGGAGGCACTCAAACTCGGCCTTTTCAAAGTAGTCCAGGAGAATAGGCTGGTACACGGGGTGAGCGCACTTCTTGATGATTACGCGTGCGCGCTCGCGGGGGCTGAGGCCGCGGACGTCCGCAAGGCCTTGCTCGGTCACGATAACATCAAGCTACTCTATCGTTAGCGCTCAGCCGTCAAATAAAAATCCAAAGGGGTCACAAACATCATGCTCCGTCTGGTCTACGTGGGACGCCATCGGAACGATACAGCTCACTCCGTGAGGATCCGTCTTTGATGGGCGAGTGGAGGGAGTGTGGACGATGCTGTACTTGGCGTTGCGCAGGAAATCTGCGCTACCGCCGAGGCCGTTGAGCATGCGGGACCCCAAAACGCAGGTGCTGTTGGCGTGGGCGTAGATGTCCACTTCTACGGGAGTGTTCATGGCGATAACACCCAGCCGGCGGATGATTTCGGGGGAGTTGGAAACCTGCTGGCTGCGGAGGAGAAGCTTGTCATGGTAGTTTTCCCAGTTGTCGTAGAAGCGCTTAAAGCCTTCGGGAGAGAAACGGACCGAAGTGGCGGTCGCAAAATCGAGGTGGCCTGTGTCGAAAAGGTCAAGGAAGGTGTCCTGAATGACCTCGGTCCAGACCTTGAGGTTCCAGAAGTTGCTGTCCTTGAGGCCTCCCACGACGGCATTGGCGATGTTGCCGATACCGGACTGCAGGGGTAGCAGGTTCTTGGGAAGGCGCCCGTGCTTGACTTCGTGCTCAAAATACTCAATCAAGTGCCTTGCGATGGCCCTGGAGCCGTCATCTTCCGGCGTGTTGGGCCCGGTTTGGTCGGGATAGTCGGACTCGATGATGCCGACGACCTTCTCAGGGTCAATGGGAATGGAGGTAGTTCCGATACGGTCCTCAACGCCCATGATGAGGTAGGGCTTGCGGCGCGGGGGCAAATCGGTCATCGTGATGTCGTGAAGACCGTCAAAGTTGGGCAACGAGGTGTTGACCTCGATGATGATCTTGTCTGCCATCTGAACAAGCTCCGGGGTGGCACCGATGGAGGCGCCAGGGACAATGCTGCCATCCTCCTTGATCTCGGTAGCTTCGACTACAACGACATCGAGGTTCTTGTTCGGGCGGTCCTTTGTATAGAAGCCGTATACGAGATCGACGGGGAATTGTGACAGGTGCTTGTCGTAGAAGTGGATTCTACCCTCGTTGATACCCTTGGAAATGGCCTTTCCCACCTGATGAGGGCTGCGACGCTCAATCATGTTGAGACTGGCCCAGCGGTTTTCGGTCTCGGCGCCAGAGGAGGCACCGACAAACAGACTGTACTTGAGCTGACCCTGGAGGCTTTTGGAACAAACGCTCGGGATTAGCTTCTTGAGGAACATCGGAGCGAGTCTACCAGCACCCTAGAGTCCCTTACCTGTTCTGCTCGACGTGGTCTGCCAAAAAGGTGGGCATCTTCTTGGGGTATCCGACGCCGGTGAAGCCGGACCAGCCGATGTAGGCGCCATTGGGGAAGTGGTGTAGGAGATCCTGGGGCTTGGTGAGCTTCTTAAGCAACGACGGGCGCTTGACACGAGCCCGCAGGGCGGCGGAAGCAATGGGAGACGCCATCTCGCGAGACGTGATCACGCAAAAGGAGAGTGAGGCGGCGAGGAGGAGTGGAGAGGTTCAAAAAGGGTCAGAGCCCGGGGAAAGGAGGGGAGAAGATGAGATGCGAAGCCTGGCCGACCACAAACTAGGAGAAGATGGGAAGATGGGGTGACTCTGGGGTAGAAAGTGGGCGTCGGCGAGGTTTTATACCATGGGCTCTGTTTTAGTCGCGAGGAGCGTTGGTGAGCTACGGCTGGGCGCGTCTCCGTTCAAGAGGGTCAAGGCATTGGAAAAGATCAGGTCACTTCGCCAGATTCCTTGAGCCCCTCGGTGGAGAATGACGCACCGCCGACCCTGGGAGACCAGGGAGCTCCAACGCAGCTCCAGGCTTTCTGAGAGGCAGAGATACCCACTAGAGGGATTATGTCATCAAAAAAAGACGACATGATTGGACCACTGAGGCTGGCGGCTCGGTAACGGTCGGTAACACCCTCCTGGACACAGCCGTAGGGCCGCTAGAGCGAGAAACCTTTTTGTCCTTGAGGCTTGCAATGTACCTGAGCGGCCACGTCTTGGTAGGGCCCGATTTCAGGCACCGCAACATGATGCCTCTCTTCGGTCTAAGCCGAGACCTTGAAGCCATTGACCAATCAAGCAACGCGAATTCCGCTGGTTTGCATGCAAATCTGGGCAAAAGGTTCGGTCAGGCGATTTTCCACTATTTTTGGTGTTGTTTGTTGATATGTGCAATCTTTGCATTTCCTCATGCTTTCCCGTGGCCACTGTAGCAATCAATGGCCCTGAGCTTGAAGTACCTACGTAAGGTAGATGGTGAACAGTCCCCACTATCAAGGCGTTCCCCGAGAAAAATAAACTGGAGACATTTTCAAACTTCCGTAGATGCGAGCCCAACCTTCGGCACAGCTCGGCCGGACGAAGCTCGGGTTTAAAACGCGCTGCTGTGTCTCATTCGTCGCGAAGGTCGCGACGGCCCCATCCACTCCCGCTTGATCTGGCCCCCTAACCCCTGCCCGCTTACGGCTGGGTCTACCTTAAGGTAGTACGTTCCTTAGGTCAGTAGAACGAGAAACTGCCCCCTGCATACTCAGCACTCAAAGAGGAAGGAGACTTGTCTGGTGCATGCTCTAGAAAGTTGGGAATAGCTTCAAGTTTTCATCTCTTTTCCATTTTCCCTTTCTTTTTTAAGAGGGTTCAAGCGTAGTCTACAATACCTCTACCTCACGACACAGTCGAATAATTTACTCGGGAATCTTGGCCTCCTCAGCGGAAACCCCCGCCTTCCATCGGTATGATGCTGCCACATGCTCGTCCAACGGTCCTGACTGGCCCTGCTTGCGGTAAAAGTTTTCTCTGTATGTACCACCGGGGACCGCATAATCGTCCCAGAAGAGTCCGCGACGGCGCAGTTCCGGCAGGAGAAGGTCGATGATGTCCTTGAAGGACTGGGGGAAGAGGGCGTACGCCTGTTGTAGGAAAGAAAAAAAAGTCAGCATCACCCATTTTCTCTCCAACTACAGCTGAACATCAACACGGCATAAGCACTTACAAAGTTGAATCCATCAACATCCGCCTCCTCGATCCACGTCTCCAGCCCATCAGCAACCTGCGCAGCCGTACCAACAAAGATGGGCCCGTTGCCACCGATGCTAACGTGCTCGGCAATAGTATGCTTTGTCCACTTTGACGTGCCGGGCGAGAACCGCGCGTACCCCTCGACGGTCGACTTGACAGCGTTGCTCTCCACCTGCCGCAGCTCCTCCTCGTCGCCGTACTTGCTCAGGTCGATGCCCGTCCAGCCGCCGAACAGCGCCAGCGCGCCCTCGTGCGAGGCGTACTGCCGGTAGTCGGCCAGCTTGGCCTGCGCCTCCTCCTCCGTGGCGCCCAGGATCGGTGTGACGAGCGCAAGCACCTTGATGTCCTTGCCGTCGCGGCCGTACTGCGTCCGCGCGAGGTCCCGGATCTCGGCAATGTTCTTTGCGCACACGGCGGGCGCGTGCGCCGATACGAAGATGGCTTCGGCGTGCTGCGCGGCGAACTGCTTGCCCGCTTTGGAGGTTCCGGCCTGGAGGAGGAGAGGCGTGCGTTGGGGGCTCGGCTGGACAATGTGCGGGCCGGGGACGGTGAAGAAGCGGCCGTTGTGGTCGATTTTGCGGACGAGGTCCGGCTGGGTGTAGACGCCCGACTTGCGATCGAGCTTGACGGCGTCGTCTCTCCATGACGACTCGAAGAGCTTGTACATCACCTTGATGTACTCCTCAGCTTGTGCGTATCGGTCGTCGTGCTATTCTTGTCAGCTGCGCCCATTGGAAACGGGATGACTTCTTGTTGTCTCACCTGAGGCTGCTGTGCCAGGCCCATGTTCTTTGCTGCAGAGTCCAGATAGCTCGTCACGATCTATGGTGGTCAGTATGCGCTTTGTTCAATTCCTTGTGCCTGAAAACTGACATTCCAACCGAGACTATGGGAATGTTAGCAACGAAGCTGCGCCAACAGATTCCGTGTCAACTTACCGACCGCCCGTGAGGTGATCAACAGTCGACAAACGCCTCGCCAGGTGGTATGGCTGCTCATATGTTGTCGATACCGTCACGCCGAAACCAATGCTCTTCGTCACCGCAGCCATGGCAGCCACGGGAGCCAATGGCTCATTGACGGGCCATTGAGCACCAGAAATCTTTGCAGGGTCGAGGGACTGCGAGTATACGTCGTAGCCGCCTTTTCAGTCAGTTATTACCATGATTCCATCTTCTGAGGGAACAAAGAGCTCACCAAGAACATCAGCGATGAAGATGCCGTGGAACTTTGCCTCCTCGAGCAGCTTGGCCAACTCAACCCAATGGCTGATCTCGTTGAAGCGCCACGACTCATCTTCGGGATGTCTCCAGAGTCCTGGGGTCTGATGTCCACTGCCTGCACGATAGCTGTCAGCTACACGGCGTTTGCCCCATGTGAAGAGGCTCAAGCAACATACACATCTCGACGAAGGCATTGAGCACGAGGCTCTTCTTTGGTTTCGCGGTTCCCGTCGTGTCTGCCATGTTTGCTTCGGTCTCTTGCTACTCGGATGCTTGCAGTCCTGAATCGCACGGGAGTTGTTCGCTTGAAAAGGATCCGAAAGAGAAGAAGTTGCTGGTTTTGCGACAAACAGCAAACAACAGAAAAACAAAACCTTACAAGCAGCTACCCAGCGGAACCTCGGCGAGCGCGGGGTAACAATAGGGCTTTTGGAGGGGCTCGCGTCAAACGACCGTGACGTTCCTTGGAGACCCCCCGTTCGGCGCGATGGTCTTACAAGTTTACCCCAAATTGCCCCTCCCGATACTCGGCGTGGGTCCGGCACCGTGGAGCCGGGGCGATGATGCCACCGGACGGCTCGGTGGCGCAAGACGCACGACGACGCACCACGGCATGGCCAACCCCACACCAATGCCGACGACCCCTGCCCTCCGCTATCTTATTGATAATTGCCCAGGGAAGCGGCTGCGCGATGGGCCGTGTACCTAGTAGGTTGCAAATAGGGTCCTCAACGCCGCTCCCCGATCTGTAGCAATTTAGGCTGCAGAGGCGGTTAAGCTGCAACTCTCAACTCAACGTACGTCTACCTTACGAGACGAGAACTCCCCAACGGCCCCCACCGGCGAACGCACGTCGTGGAGCTCAAGGTTCCGACATGAGGCTATCACGTCATGTTAGCTCTTATGACATGGCCCAACCAGAGAGTTGCAGATTACCGCGCGACAGATTGGCGGCTTGCCATTACCCGCAACACGGTAGCAGTATACCTAGAACACTCCATGAGGGGCAAGTGGAAGCGCGCATGGACTATTGTTAAGCTTTAATTCGCCAATTGACTTTGGCATCTGTTCATCTCACGATTGTTTCGCAGCGGCGATCACCTCATTGACGGACCACATGCACATGAATGACACAGATATCGGAAAGATGAATCAAACAAGGTTCAGACGAATTACTAGCGCAAAGAAACAGGGAATCTTTTTCGTCTCTTTGGCAGTATCCGAACCCCCTCTCCCCCCCGTCTCGGCCATCAGCAGCAAGCTGGCAGAGCTGCCCGCTCTGTCCCAGCAACTCGGTATCGACCCTGACTCGGATTTTCATCACCAAATCCCCCGCTAGTGCTTCGCGTCCGATTCGCCATCCTCGCTAGACACCACGCCGCTAACCTCACGAACCTCCTCCACGTGCGTAGTGAGCCCGGATCCAAAGTGTCTCAAGACCAGCCACGCGGGTCCGATGGCGACGGCCCAAAGTGCAAAGTTGAAGTAGATGCCGCCGACCTCTCCGAAGAGGGGTATCGAGGTGAGGCCGTAGCTGACCGCCTGCCACGCCGACTCGACGCCACGGAGCAGCGCGGCGTACCGAATCACTTCCTCCTCGCCCTCGGCCAGGTTCGTGACGATGAAATACCTGTGTGTGCGCGTGTTAGTCGGTGTGCCCAGCAAGCGCCGCCAGCAGACTTTGCGGTTTAGGGCCGGTAAACGTACAGGAAGAGATAGTTAATCTGGAAACCGATTGTGAGGAAAATGTAGACTGCAAAGGCGGCTCCGAAACCAGGGCTGGCCCAGTCGTAGGTGGGCCGTGTGTGGCGGAAACGCGTGGCGAGGATGGTCGCCCAGAGCCACCAGGCGCCCTGGGTGACGACGAGGGCCCAGAAGGTCGACCTGGTGCGGAGCTTGAGGGAGATCTTTGCGCGGTCAAGCCAGTGCTGGCAGCAAATGTCAGTAAACTGCTTCTCAGGCGTAGCTACGAGCAAAACAAGAGCTACTTACCCCGAGAAGATTGCCTGAAATCACGGCAACAATGCCAGAGAGGAATGAGCCCAGAGCTCTGGATCGGACAGTGAACCATGCTGTTGTCATGGGTCAGCCTCAAATCTCCAAGAAAGGAGGCGATTTATGGGGCAGACTTACTGGCGAGATAGGTGAAGAAAACAGCCTCGGCAAATACAGCCTGACCAATCCAGAGAACAACGAGAAGAAACTTTGGCTTGAACAAGTTTCTCGTCGTCGCCTTGATTTCATACCAAGGATTCTCAAGAATCGCCAAGCTAACCTTCTTCCCGTCCTGCCGCTCCACCTGCTCCGGCTTGTTCATCAGGAACCCGACAAAGGGCCCCGCGGCCTGGATGGTAATGAAGACGATGTAGACGGTGTACGAAACCTTGCCGGCCTTGTCATTGTCCGCGTTGAGGCCGAGGTTGATGGCGCCGCCGAGGATCTGGCCGCACAGGCGGTAGGTGAGCCAGTACCCGAGCGCTTTCCCGCGGTTCCAGGGCTCCGGGTAGGCCATTGCGATGGCGGCCTCGGCCATCCAGAAGACGCCGGCGGAGATGCCGCAAAGGGCGGCGCCAAAGAGCATGAGCCATTCGACGCCGTAGCGGTTGTTTGTGTAGAGACCTGCGGCGAAGGGGGCGTAGCCGATGCTGTTTGTGAGGTTTGAGACATCAGTGTTTTGTGTTCCTTGTGGTGTATCCATCCTTGTCTGTGGAATTGAGGGAAGGGGGTGATACTCACGTTCCAAAGATGAGAGCACCCTTGATACCGATGTAGTGGACGATGACGGATGAGAAATAACACGACACTACCATGAGGCAGAATGTGAGGGCGTTGGCGGCGTTGACGGTCTTGGGAGAGGCCGCGCCGCCCGCGCCGAGAGAGTTCATGGCGCCCCAGATGCCCGGGGCCGCTAGGTTGCAGAGACCGAGGATGGTCATGTTGTAGAACGTCGAGCGGTACCATTTTACTGGCGAGTCTGGGTGTTAGCCTTTCGATGATGCTCCAGGCAGTTTCTTTTGCGATATCAACGAACCCGGGTGACGCTCCGACTTGGGAGGGATGGCATCGCCCTTTGCTGGGTCGACGTATTCTGCCATTGTGACGCTCTGACCAGCCTGTTGAATGTAATATGAGGCTAGATGAAAGGATGAAGAGAGAAAGGGACTCTTCTCTGAATAACGTCAAAAGGCCAAGAGCTGAACTGCCGAGTCGACTATCACATCTACAACCCCCCAACAGGAACGGGAATCCTTCGTCTTATGGATCAGATCAGAAGAGACAAAACATGCAGGGATGGCTGTCATAATCAGGCCTAACAAGCTGCATCCCTTCCCTCTGCAGCCCAATTCCTCTCTCTTCTTGGAGTAACATCAAATCAATGGCTATCACTGACACATGCCGGGCCCGAACTGCAGGGTCCAGACAAACTTTTTTTTTTTCCCTCCCTCTTCTCTCATATCCTAACTCTTCTCAGAAACCCCGGCAAGCAACGGCCAGGCTTACTCCAACTCTCCAAGAGCTTAGCGTTTGAATAGAAGACTCGCTAAGACGTCTTTGTGGAAATCTGCGGCGAAAAAAACGGTTGCGAAATCAACTGGGTACAGCACGCCATTCCGCTGCCGGCGCACGGATCCCACCTCAATACTTCATCACCTCGGTGATCAGTCACTCAACGGTAAACACCACCACCACGATTAGGTCTCAATTTTACGCTAGCAATGGAAGCACGACATAGTATTCCGAGTCTTTGGGAACGTTTGGCATGGAAAACGGCTCAATCCACGTGGGCTGATGTCCTGGTGGCTTGTGGATCGGCCGCTGGACTCATTTGTGCCGGTCCAGAGTTCGGCATGTCACCGTCATTGTTGGTGGGTTGGTCTTCACTTCCGAGGCCAGGAATTCAGCCAGTATACTGTGACGAGACTCTTTCCATGAGATCTTCAGCTCCTAAAGTTCAACGCTGTGTCACTGCTAGCCTGGTCACTGCCGTAAGGTCGTGATGGAAACTTTTGTCCAAGTGGCCCAGGTCCGTCAAACAAGCAGTGCATGTATCGATGATAGTCCAAATGAGAACTCTAGAATCAGCATTATCTTGATTGCGCTGTTGCATTTCTTGTTGCGCCTCCCCCCCCCTCCAAGTTTCTACACGACGTCTAAGGCACGCTCCACCAGCTCTCATGAACGTCTTTCACATCAACACTTTCAGCTTTCAAGTAAGGCGTCACGTCAGCCTCCGGGTCCAGCTCCTTCTTCGTGCATCCAAGTCCAAAGTACCACAAAAAGGGATTCTCCGAGTCCCCGACATACTCATACTCAAAGTCCTCCCACCGCGGCTCCCGCTGCACAATCGTCGCCAGCGTCGCAGACCCAGGCCACAGGCCGTGGATCCTCGAGCCGGCTTTGCCGCTGTTGTACCAGGAGCTGCAGTTCTCCGACAAGACCGTCGTCGCGAAGAAGGCGTCCGAGTATTGCGTAAAGTTATCCGCGGCCCTCTTGGTCGGCTGGATCGTCTTGATGCCCTCGCGGCTGGCCTTGCGGAGGATGCGCGCAAAATACACAATCTGGTTCTCGACGTTGTGCGGGACCGTGCCGGAGCGCCCCGACCCGTTGGGCCCGTGGACGAAGAGCAGGTTGGGGAATCCGGGCGTGGCGGAGCCGAAGTAGGTGTAGGGTCCGTCGGGCCGCCAGAGCTCGCGGAGGTCCTGGCCTTTGGCTGTGATGGGGAATGGCGGCGCCATGTCGACGTTGGCGCCCGTCGCGCAGAAGATTGCGTCTACCTCGCGATGCTTGCCGTCTTCCGTCTCGATGCCCGTCTCTGTGATTCGCTGAATGCGCGTCTGGATGTACTCTGTCTTGTCGGAGGTGACTGCCTCAAAGTAGCCCGGTCCGGGCGTCAGACGACGGCAGTGCGGCGAGAAGTCTGGGATGAGAGCGTCGACGAGCTCTGGTTTCTTGACGAGCCGGTCGTTCATGAACTTGCGGAACTTTTCGCGCGCCTCGTCGTTTTCGCTCGAGCCCTTGAGCCACCCAGTGAAGTGGCGGAAATACTTGCTCTCCAGCTCCTTGCGGTATTTGAGGTAGGCCTCTGGGTCCTTGCGAAAGGTCTCTCTAAGGTCCTCGGGGATGACGATGGGTTCGATGGAGGTCTCGTCGCCCGCGAAGGAGGCCGTCACCCACGTCTTGTTCCGCGCGTAGTGGTCCAGACGCGAGACGACCTTGTGGAGATTTGACGTGAGTTGGATGCCGCTGGCTCCGTTGCCAATCACCGCGACCTTCTTCTCTCTTGGATCAAAGCTAGGGTCCCAGTTTGAAGCGTGTCTGAGGACTCCCTTGAAGTCTTTCAGGCCGGGGTAGTCCGGCAGCTTCCAGGCATTGAAGCGGCCGATGGCTGTGAGGACGAAATCAGCCTCTTCGATGCGAATCGCGTCCGTGGCAAGGTCGCGGATGGTGATTTGCCAGATTGCGCGCGAATCTACCCAATTCAGGCCTTCAACTCGTTGGGAGAGCTGAAGGTGCTTATAAACGTCATACTTTCGCGCCAGGCCTTGCCAGTAGTCGCGGATCTCGGCGCCCTGAGCGAATTCCTCCGTCCATTGGGTATTGGATTCAAAGGTTGATTGATAGACGTGGGCTGGTACGTCACAACGGACGCCTGGGTAGATATTTTCGAACCATGTGCCGCCCTGGAATTGTCCGTGTTAGCCGAAAGCTCTAGATACTCCTCGGGTTCAGTTCATACGCACCACGTCCGCGTTCTTCTCGTAAATCGAAAGCTTGATGCCAGGAACCTTTGCAGGGAGGAGAATTCCGGCAAGAACACCAGAGAGACCTGCTCCAATCACGGCAACTCGTAGCTCTCGCGGCTCATCTATGTATCTGTCGACAAGCTTGATTGGATAATCATCATAAATGGACTTTGGTGGTGTGAGAAGTGAGTCGACGGTACGGTCGATGAGCGTCTGTTTATCTGTGCCCTTCTTCAATGGGGCCTCGCTCGAAGCATCCCTTGGTTCCGCAACTTTTGAGGTCGTTGTCTCAATGTGGTCACCCATGATGGCAAATTGCTCAAGTGATGCTTCAACGTACAGGTGTAGGATCTATAGCTCTACAATGGACTAGGCTGAGAGCCAGCAATAGACAAGATGGGAAAGCTCTATTTTGTTAGACGGCAGCTCTGCCCCTCGTCAATCCGTACATCGGAATCACGTCAGACTCGTGCTCAAACGCGTTACATGTACTTGGAAGGAAGACGGTCCGCGGTCTCGAGTATGGTTCAACCCGGGGGCCACCTCACCAGAACCATCGTCCTATCAGAGAGGAATCATTGTTATCTCGCAGCGTCAAAGAGAAAGCTTCACGAGACAGGGACAGCTCTCCACCCCACCATGAAGCTTTATCTAACCCCGCTATCCCATGTTGCGGACCGCTGTTGCTGGAGATGAGGTGCGCAGAGCATGGGGAGCACGCCATCTCCCCACTTTCTTGGGGAATGCCAATAAACACGCCCCCCCCCCCCCTCCCTCTCTCCCCGTCCGTCCTCTCCTCAGATCGGAGCCTCCAACAAAACGTCCTCGTTTGATTCTCCATTCCCGCAATGGGGCCCGCCATGTCGGATCCGCACTCGAGTCTTGAAGGTTACAAATACTCGTCTCCAATTTCTGCAGGTTGATGGGGTGGAGCATGGTTGATGCCGGCCGGCGATGTGGGCATGGTCGACCGGGGCTTTGAGTGGTCTATCCAAACAAGTGAGGACGCCTCGCGTTTCTCTTTTTCACATCTGGCTTACAGTCACATCAATGAGCCCTGAAATGGTGCAATGCTTCGTCCCGGGCATCTATGCAACCTGCCAACCTCTTGTCGCACCCTTTCCGCTCTCACGTCGGGTGGTTTGCGGTGCTACTACGCAGTAGTCTCCAGGTTTTCGCCTTGGTAAAACGCCAACGCCAAGTTTGGCTCCTTCAGCTTGCGCAAGAGACATGACTGGGCCCTTGTTCAATGGCTGGAAAAGACGGCGCGTGGGCGGGTTACTACGGTATGCGAAGAATTGTAATCGCAGGAGCTAGGATAGTAACATGGTACTAAAAGCACAAGAGATCCTTCAAGTCCATTTCCTGCAGCTGTGATATGCACGTTCTGTGTCTCCAACGTATCTAGACCTTTTCTTCCCGCCATACGATCGAAAGGCGACGCGAAAGGTAACCGCCATGGTTGTTCAGCCTCGCCGCAAATGGTGGCACATTCAATGGTATGCCGACACCGACACGCCAGAGGAGCGCAAGTTGATCAACAAACTCGACCTCCTCATTGTACCGTACGCGGTGTTGAGCTACTGGGTCAAGTACATTGATCAGTCGAACCTCAACAATGCCTACGTCGCCGGCCTCAAAGAAGATCTCGGATTCAAGGGTAATGAGCTCGTTCAGCTTCAGACCTTGTACATTGTCGGAGCCGTTACTGGACAACTGCCGATGATGTTTATTTTGACATACGTCCCGATCCATTGGCTCATTCCCTTTTTGGACATTGCCTGGGGCATCTTTACGCTCCTCCAGTACCGCGTCACTGGATTCGCTGAGCTCGCCGCATATCGCTTCCTGGTGGGCTGGTTCGAGGCCGCCTTTTTCCCAGTCATGCACTACCTCTTTGGTGAGTCCCAATACTTTCCTACACGCTACACTTTACTAACGAGTAATTCGAAGGCTCCTGGTATCGTGGAGATGAGATTGCAAGACGCGGTGGCATCTTCTACGTCGGTCTATCTCTGGGCACACTCACTGCTGGTCTGATTCAAGCCGGCGCCTCAGCAAGACTCGACGGAGTGCATGGCCTTGCCGGATGGAGATGGATGTATATCATCTGCTCTCTCATTACCGTTCCCATCGGCATTCTGGGCTACTTCGTCATCCCAGGCACCCCTGAACAGCCCAATCGACTTTTCCTCAAGAGAGAGAACATCGAACTGAGTGTGGAGAGACTCAAGCGCGCAGGTCATTCATCTCACGGGAAATTCAAACTAGGTAACTTAAAGAAAGTCTTTTTCTCGTGGCAATTTTGGGGCATTGTCGTTGTCGACGTTCTCTTCTGGAACGCGAGCATTCACACCTCGTCGGGCAGCTTCTTGCTCTGGATCAAGAGTCTCAGTCGTTACTCGGCGGCCAAGGTAAACGAACTCGGCACGATTGCGCCCGCTCTAGGCATATTCTACACCTTGTTCGTCTGTTTTGCCTCGGATCTCGTCATAGGACCCGCCTGGGCAATCACGCTGGCAAGTGCCTGGAATGCCCTGGGACTCCTGATCTTGGTCATCTGGAACGTCCCGGAAGCTGCCAAATGGTTTGCGTTCTCGACAATCTACGCTTCCGTTGCGATGTCCAGCGTGTTTCACGGTTGGGTCAATACCCAGTTGCGGTCGTCGCCGGCTGAGAGATCCTTCACACTTGTCCTGATCAATGCCATCTCTCAGTCGTCCACGGCGTGGACTCCACTCTTGGTTTTTCCCACGGTCGAGGCACCTCGATACCGCAAGGGTTTCGCATTTACTCTGGCCTGTGCCGTTCTTCTCATTGTTGCGACTCACATTTTGCGCATGTACATCAAGCGAAGAGAGTAAGTTCATCCAATACTTCCCTGGAAAGCAGCTTGTGCTAACTGCCTGTCTATTAGTCCTCAACTTGAGAACGCTACCGGGTTTTCTGAAAGTGATCACGAAGACATTTCAACTGTTGAAAACGGCAAGCAGCCCCCAGTTGCAGTAAGCGGACGAGATGACCGAAGTGATTGAAGAGGAGCCGTTAGACTCAACTGAATGATGTTCGATATGGAGCTGGGAACTGTTGTCCCGCCAAAGCGACGTGTAAATGGTGTAGTTATAAATCATTTGGAACGGTGCAGCTAGTAGTATATGGTGGTAATGACTTTAATAAACGACTGTCCCAGCACCAGATCTTAGCTGAAACTGAGGTCATGATCCAAATCATCGTTCATCGTGTCAGCATCGCATGCAGAGGACAACTACGCACATGATGGTTTTCTGTAATTCAATTCGCTCATGAGTGACTCCAGAACTAGCGCGACTGAATTGGCATATTAGGGCTGAGATGCGCTGGTCTGTGGCGTGCTTGGCGTCGTTTCTAGCCGCCAAGCAAAGGTTGTGACCATCTCGCGGAAGTTGACCGTTGGAGGCTTTTTCGAGAACGTATTCAGAGATTCTGGAACCGCGTCAGGAAGGGCTATTAGCAAATATGGCGTGGTCGCCACGCTCTAGTTCGGCATTGCAGTATCGAGACTGGTTGCGACCCGCAGGCAAATGTGTGAACAAGTACACGACCCGCTGCGGAGATGCGCCTCCTGAACTATCAGCCATGTCGTCGGCGAGACTTCGTCGGCTCAAGAACCAATTATCAGATGTCGTTTTTACCGACCCGGCTTGATGCCAGCTCCATCACAGTGGTCCAGACGTCCGGTGTTGAGTTCCGAAATGGAATGAGTCTTCGGGCTCGGAAGACGGGTGATGGCACCATCCACACCCGCGATCACGCCAGCGTTTCTGCCCTGCACCGGCGGCGTTGAATTGGGGTCAACCGTCGACGTGCAGACGACATCCTGCGCCAGTCCCACGCGGTGGGCGACAACGGCGATGACGACATGGCGACTGGACAGCTTCCTTGCATCGCGTTCCCGCGCCAAGTTGAAGAATTTCTGCATCCGTCGTGATTGATAAGATGGCAGGGAGCCCGCGGGGCTGCGTTAGAGGCGTCAACAGAAGCCAGAGCTTGAGGATACTGATACTCTTGAGCAAACATACGAAATGACTTCGGTACCGATTCACAGCTCAGCCAATGGCGAAAATGGCGTCAAGCCGGAAGGAAAGAAGCAAATCTTGCTCAATGCTTTCGACATGTCTACCGTCGGGCACTTGTCTCCGGGGCAATGGAAGGTTGGTGATCTCGTTTTGAGAGGTTTCTGGACGAATGGGTTACTAAGTCTTGCTGCTTCAGAACCCCACCGACAAGTCAGCAACCAAGCGCGACCTGAACTACTGGATCGACCTTGCGAAGCTCTTGGAAAGAGGAGGCATCAATGCGCTCTTCCTCGCCGATACCTATGGTGGCTACGACACGTATGAAGGTAGCCTTGATAATTGCATTCGCCGAGCGGCTCAATGGCCGATGACGGATCCTACCATTGTAAGGAAATACCTTGGTGAGAAGAGCTCGACCCATGCTAACTATGCGAATACAGCCGATTAGTGCCATGGCCGCAGTTACGAAGAACCTCACGTTCGCCATCACCGCATCCACATCCTTTGAGCCACCTTTCCTGCTCGCCAAGCGCTTCTCAACACTTGATCATTTCACCAGGGGTCGCATTGGCTGGAACATTGTCACTTCATGGAAGAAGGCAGCCTTCAAGGCAATTGGCTTGGACAGCCCTATTCCCCATGACGAGCGGTACGCTCAGGCTGACGAATATTTGCGAGTTCTTTACAAGTAAGTCTCTAGGGTACCTGTCTTTGAGACATTCAAAGCAACAGAGTTGAAGGCACGTACTTACGTTTTCCTAGGCTTTGGGAGGGCTCGTGGGCAGATGACGCGATTACCCCTGATCCTGAGAACGACAGCTATGCCGACCCGGACAAGATCCGGACGATTCATCACCATGGAAAGTTTTTTGATCTGGATACACGTCACATCGTCGACCCGTCCCCCCAAAGAACGCCCTTCCTGTTTCAGGCAGGCACATCGGCGGCTGGTTCAGAATTTGCGGCCACGCATGCCGAGGGTATCTTTGTGTCCTCCCATTCGCCAAAGCTCCTACGCCCAAAGGTCAAGCAAATCAGGGAAAAGGCCGCGGCCCTTGGCAGAGACCCGCAGTCTGTCAAGTTCTTCGCGACTTTCACTCCAATTGTGGGAAGGACCGACGAAGAGGCTCAGGCGAAGCATGAGGAACTCAAGAAATATGCGTCTGTTATCGGAGGCTTGGTCCTCGTCAGTGGCTGGACTGGCATCGATCTATCCAAGATCCCGGTCGACCAGGAGGTGACCGCCGCAGACTCTCTGGAGGCGCACAAGGTACGCAGCATTCTCGATGCTTTCACGACAACGAGCGAGCACGTCCCCAAGTGGACGCCGCGTGTGATTGCCGAGCGGGCGGCGATTGGCGGGCTCGGACCGGTATCTGTTGGGAGCCCACAAAAGGTGGCGGATGACTTGGAGTACTGGATTCGTGAGGGTGACTTGGATGGGTTTAACTTGGGGTACGTCACGACGCCTGGCACCTTTGAAGATGTCGTCGATCTCCTCATCCCAGAGCTGCGAAGGCGTGGGATCTACCCAGAAGCACCCGCCGAAGACGTCGCATTCACGGCTAGGGAGAAGGTGTATGGGCAAGGGCAAAAGGGATTGAGAGCCGATCACCCGGGATCGTCCTATAAGTATGATGTATACAAGGAGGACGCAGATTCGGAGCGTGCAAACTCGAGTGAATAGTTTGCAGCCGATGTCGTTTCCTCAAGTACGTAGAAATCTACTTCCACTCAGGAAACATTGTACGCCATGAGAGAGGTTAGCCTTATTTTGAAGCCAAGCAGAATATTTCTTAGACCTTTATCCAAGAAGCAAAACGGAGAGTGGAGAAAACAATTAATGTGCCGCAGCTAGACGTGAAGTTATCCCTGGTGCCAGGCGAACCTAGATTGTGTCTAACAGCATAGGTAGTTGCCTGATACCTCGTAATGACTTCTTCGCCAGATAATCCAAATACTTTATTACGAGGAATTCAAATTAAGATAGACATCAGTCGGAACCAGCAACTGACTGGCTGATATAATTATTGACTGACTATCCCTATAATCATTGCAAACATGACGTTGCCAGCCGGGACCGAACTGAAATATTACAACATTCCTCCTCCGCATATTGAGCGTCAAATTCGCGTCATCGAGTTGATTCCTTCTCACATGCAGTCAGCTGACTCGCCTCTTCACTGCGATTTTCACCATATCAGCATCGATGATCTTGCCTCCTCCTACGAAGGTATATAATACTTTATGGTGCCGAGCCTTCAAGTACTTCCGAGGCATATTTTACGTCGAAGAACAGGATGCTGCTATGAAGATCACGCAAAGCTTTTCTGATGCCCTTCATCGGTTTCGCCTGCCGCTGATCACGAGGATGCTTTGGGCCGACGCCGTTTGCATCATAATGCGGAGAATGGCTGTCAAATCTCCCTGACGGCTGACATCTGCAGCTGTGCAAAAAGCATTCTGGTCTGGCTTGTAGCAGACTAAGCCGCTCAAACCGCTTTGTTGCTCCTCGGCCGTGCCACCAAGTCAGTTAGCACCAAGGTAGATAAGCAAGCCCCGGACGAAGGTGCCATGTCTCTAAATACTGTGCTAGCTCAGAGTCGGGTCAACCGACGTTGGGTGATGAAAGGAATGGTCCGAAATCCTGATGTCGTCAATTTTCTTTTGGTCAGGCCTCGTTGCCGTGGTCAAGGTTTCTCTCTTCCGTTTGGATCTTTCGCGGTTGAGTCAAGAGTTCACGAGCTTTGCATGAGCTCGAAATAACGATAAGACTCTGGACCACGATAACTTAAATGTTTGCTTTAGCTTCACTTTCTTCTGATGTGGATCTAGTTACCACCAGTCAAGGGCCCATTGAAAAGTATGGTAGTAAGTTCTGTATCAAATCAGGCTACCGGCAATCTACGGGTGGCGCCTTGATATTGAGTTCGCTACCGGGGCCTTCCGGCACGGCTTGCCTTTCTCGACCCTCTACAGGACTTGGGACTGGTATTTATCTTGTGGCTTGCCTGCATGGGTACAAGACTGGCTAGTTGAGCAGTGACCGGAGTCACCTTACTCAGTACCTTGTCAGAAATTCTCACGCAGAACACTAGGCTCGTACCTCTTAGAGTGAACATTGGATTATGACCGAACTTCGCTGTGAAGCCCTGCATTCGTTCAGGTTCAAAGTCCACCTGAGAATTCATCCTCCGTCAAGATATCCATGTGCCGAAGGCTGTCCTGGACGGAATCTCTCCAATTCGGATGAACTTGCAAACATCACATGGAAAAGTCGGCCTGCGAGTGTTCATAGAACGGAAGAACGCTTAGCTTGACTTCGTGATGCTGTTACCGACGCCGAAGCGTGGTTGAAAGGTACGAAGCCGAATTCACTGAGTTGCAAACTATTATTCTGGAAAGGTGCCAAAGAAAGAGAAAACCATAAGCATTCAGCCGTTCTCAGCAAGCCTGCAGTGGAGAGAAACAGAAACCAATTTCTCTGGCGACCTTACCGGGACCTGTTCTAATACGACGCTCTCGATAAGAGTATAAGAAAGGGGAGGGATCGAGACCAAAAGTTCTATCATGGACTCGCGAATAATCACATCGGTTTGCCGCGACTTGGATAGAGGTTGGTCCGTGGTTTCCTAGTGTCGCTCTCACAACGTCCTTTAAGGAACGCTTCTCTACGTTGGTTTTGCTCCAGGTCATGTCGATGTCAATGATCTTATGATTTAGCCTTCTGAATACTTCACGGCTTTTGACCATGATAGTCTGAGCAATGCGGAACCGGCAAGGATTGTAACAGGTCTGAGATTTCAAGGAATTTGGTTTTGAAATCATTGAGCAATTTCTATGGCATCTCATACGCGAGTACTAGAAACAAGGACACGAGGTCTGATGAGATTTCAGGAGCGAGGAGCATCAATGCCAGACCCGTCAACAGGATTGATTACCTTACGTGGTACAAGATCTTATCATGTAGAGGTAAATTCCAGAAACCCTGTGCTCGTATTGAACGAGTTGCCCGCAGATATCAATGCCCCGTCGGCTAAAGCCACTTAGCTTCTTCATTTGAAGGGGGTGACTCATTTGGTGAGCTTGCTGATAAGTAATTATCTATGATTCAAGAATCATCAAGCTGTTGCTGCTTATGGGTCTGTCAAATGATAGATGCACACTTCGGCACGTTGTAAGTATGAGAGGATTGCTACGCCACCATTAAGCCTGGCACACAGAATGACATCGCGCTGCAAAGGACTCGCCCTTAAGTTGGAAGAATAACACTAAGCGAATTCTTATGTTCTATCACAAAGAGATGACTTGTCTATATGGACACATTCCAACATTGGGGGCGGCATGTAGATGTCTCCGCATGGGCACTATTCGGGGTTTGGGAGCACCCGGAATCAGCCTAGTCTGTGGAAGCAAACAAAAATAAAAAGCCGCTTTCGTCTAGTGAAGGACTTAGCCATCGCTTTAGAAAACGACAACAACAGGGGCCATTCATCTTGAATAATTCTGATTCTTTAGGTGAAGACGACTGCATTTTCATAATACTCATTTCCACCCTGTGCCTGCAACAGTTTAACTCAGGATGGCCAGCGAATTCTTGAAAACTTCTCTGTCGACAAAAATGCCTCCAATTGCCATTATTGGCGCTGGACCATGTGGCCTCACACTGGCCCGGCTTCTCGAGCGTCAAAGAGTGGACTACGTAGTCTACGAGCGAGATGAGAGCGCCGCATCAGCCAACGCCGGTGGCTCGTTGGATATTCACGAAGGGACAGGCCAAGCGGCGCTTCGAAAGGCTGGTCTCTGGGATGCGTTCCGCAAAGAAGCAAGATGGGAAGACGACAGGTTCGCAGTATACGACAAGTTTGGGAAGCAGCATCTCGACATTAAGAGCAATGGCGGCGTTGACGAGGCTGGCAGGCCCGAAATTGATCGCAAAGCACTTCGACAAATTCTCCTGGACTCTGTACCGCGCGAGAAGATCCAGTGGGGAAGCACACTGAAGGCTGTCAAGATGCATCAGGCTGGCTCGCCGTCCCTTGAGTTCACTTCTGGCACGACTGCGGAAGGATTCAAGCTTGTGGTTGGGACCGACGGTGCTTGGAGCAGAGTTCGCTCACTGGTATGTCATGGCTCACTCTTTGCTTTTGCCCAGTGACTAACTGTGATTCAGATCACACAAGTGAAGCCTCGGTACTCTGGCAGAACATACGTGGAAGCCCAGATTACGGAAGAAAACCCGCTATTCAAGTCAGTCCTGGACAAATATGGACACGGAACGGCCACTATACTGGCAGGAGCCAACCAAATGGTCATACAGCGTCAGGGCAACGGCTGGTACAGGGTGTACTTCGGGATTGAGGCTCCCGAGCATTTCGTTGGCAGAGAGACCGACCCAGCAAGCATCGATGCGTTGCGACAGGCGTTGCTATCCGACTTCTACAGCGATTGGACCGAAGAGGCAAAAGACTACATACGATATGCCGAGCATTTCCGCAGCTGGCCGTTATATCAACTCCCCCTTGAGAGCCAGAATTGGACGAACGTGCCAGGCTTGGCTCTGGCTGGGGATGCAGCCCACTTGGCACTACCCAACGGCGAAGGCGTCAACTGTGCCATGTGGGATGCAATGGAGCTGGCTAAGAGTATAGAAACCCACGGCCTCGACAACTTGGACGGCGCGGTTCAGGAATATGAGAAGGACCTCTTGGTGCGAGGCAAAGCACACATCGAAGATGGCATACAGCTCGGACAATTGATGACCCATGAGAGTGGCCCAGCTGCAATTGTCAAGGCTTTCCAATAGGACGACTACGAGATCAATGATTGGAGCCCGGTTACAGGGTTTTCGGACGAAGAGTAGCTACAACGACATTGGAAGATAGGATTGAACGCAGGGCAGATACACATGTAATCATTACTTAGACCGCTTTAGTTCGGGATGAATAAAGTAGTTTCTTATATCATCAAGACACAGACCATGCCTTACTAAGACAAAAGCATTTTCAATACATGTAGCCTATATGTACCGGCAGAATATCGTTCAAATCTCGACCAACAAACCCAGCCACGATCGGAAATAACGCGTCGGTTGATTGACCCCTCGCTTCCAGCAGTGTCTCAAACGTCACCACTCCATTAATGATTGTCCGGGCTTACTCTTCCCAAAATTGTTAGTCGGCCCTTTGTAAAGTCCGGATTACTCCGTGGGCGCGGAGCGCCAAGGTCCCCGCCCCCCCCAAAAAAAGCCACGGATGAGATCCCGTCGTCAGCTTGACCCGCGCCTTGGAACGAGCCCACCTCCGCCCGACATCATCGGTCCCCCGGTCATCACAACTCTCCGAAACCTACTCTGCTAAGTCTGCTTCTCTGCAACGGGAACGGCCTTGGCAGGACTCCGTCAACGCAACCATGTCGGCTCCCGTACTATCTAGTAGTAAGGCAGACACCGCTCCCCGAGCAAAGCCCCAGCGCGTCCTCGCATGCGTCCTCTGCCAGCAGCGCAAGATCAAGTGCGACCGCAAGTTCCCTTGCGCGCATTGCACCAAGCACCAGCTACATTGCGTGCCCGCGACGCAGACCCGGCCCCGGAGGCGGCGGTTCCCGGAGAGGGAGCTTCTCGACCGCCTGCGAAAATATGAGGGCCTACTCCGACAAAATAAGGTTGAGTTTGAGCCGCTTCATGGGGACCTAGGCACCAGGTATGGAAAATCTGTCGACGATAGCGGCGGGTCGGATGATGAGCACCGATCTGAAGGCACGGGGATGCCATCACCGTCAATCACAGTGAAATCCGAAACCTCATACGAACCCAAGTGAGTCACTCATTATCGATTCAGACCTTTGCCGCACGCATGTCACTCACTTGTTCTGCACACATGATCAACTTTAATCGAACGTACGTAGAAGTTCACGGTATCACTGACTACGTATGTCTAGGAACTTTTGGCATCTGGTAAGCCCAGAGGTAGATTCAAATTCAACTCATCCCTCGGTTCTAGGACTAATACTGCTTAGCTCGAAGCTTCACACGCCGGCTTGCGGGAGACAATTAGGCAAACGTGGGACCAAACCTGCGATAGCGATGATCACATTCTCTTCGGCTCCTCAGATCGATCATCAGTCGACCTCTCAACCTTCCATCCCGAGCCCGTTCACATCTTCCGACTCTGGCAAATTTACCTCGACAATGTGAACGCGCTGCTTCGAGTAACGCACGCTCCCAGCTTTCAAGCGCGCATCATTGAAGCCGTAAGCAGCATCGAAAACATGAGCCCCGCATTGGAGGCTCTCATGTTCAGCATGTACTCCATGGCCATCTCGAGCCTCACGGAGGAGGCTTGCTACGATACGTTCAAGCAGCCAAGAGCCCTCCTTTTGACCAAATATCAGTTTGGCTGTCAGCAAGCTCTGGCCAATAGCCAATTCCTACGAACGACTGACATTGACTGTCTGACCGCGTTGTTCCTCTACCTCGTACGTATCTTGCCTGATAAAGAGAGACAACATCTCAGCTCACCCCACACAGCACGCAAGCCGTCCGGCCGCCCACATTCGATCCATCTCGTCACTCCTCAGCGTCGCCATCCGCATAGCCCAGCGCATGGGTCTCCAGCACGAATCCGCCAACGCAAGGTGTACCATTCTCGAGGCCGAGATGCGCCGCAGGCTCTGGTGGTCCCTCGTGCTCTTCGACGCCCGTATGAGCGGGCTGAGCGAGCACAAGGCCACTGAACTGACCCCGACGTGGGACTGCGCCGTGCCGCTCAACGTGGGCGACTCTGAACTCCGAGCCGAGATGAAGGAGCCGCCCCGGGCGGAGATGAAGGTCAGTGAGGCGCTCTTCTCCGTCCTGGCGGCCGAGCTCGCCGACTTTGCCCGGCACACGCCGTTCTACCTCGACATGACGAATCCCATCTTGAGGCCCATTGCCAAGGAGCTTCCTGGTGGCGGCAAGGTAGATTGGTTGGAGAAGTCGGTGGAAGAGCGGTATCTCCGGTACTGCGATCTCGAGAACCCGACGCACTTCATGGCCATGTGGATGTCGCGCGCATCGCTCTCAAAGTTCCGTCTCATGGAAAACTCTCACAGCTACCTCATGGAGCCCGACGAGGAGAGGTACAAAATCACGTTATCCAGCGCCCTGAGGTGGCTGCATTGCGACGCAAAGCTGGCAGCCTCGCCTCTCACCCAGCGATTCCGTTGGTTTCTCCAAATCTACTACCCTTTCCCTGCCTATATCCGCATCACCCAGTTTCTCAAACTGAACCCCCTGGATTCTAAAGCCGAGTATATATGGAACGCCCTGAGCGATCATTTCGAAGCTCGATTCGAGCAACTCATGCCGGGGTATTCCCCAGTCTTTATCCCCTTCAGCGAGGTCATTATCAGCACTTGGGAGGTGCTAGCAACGGCGCTCAGAGACTCGGGGCAGCCGGTAGTCCCGCCGAGAATCGTAACCAAGGTTCAAGAAAGGCTGTTGGAAGTGACGCCGACTCCGAGTCCACAGTCGCCTACAGCCGAAGCCATGGGCATGGGCTCTTATGACTTTGGTGCATCGATTCCGATGGACTTTGTCGGCCACAGTCTCAATTATGACCAAATCACCTTTTCGCCAACAAACAATGCTCTGTACCCAAATATTAGTATGCCGGACACGCATGGTATCAACGTTGATCAGTTCAACTGGGATTCCTTGGATTTGGGACAACATGGGCAAGCGACATAACATAGGCCGCTTGAATCTAGGTGGAGCCGCGGGTGTCCCGTTTGGCACAGATCAGGGCTACTGTACCATTAGAAATGACTGCGTGTACGGACAGCCTCACTGCTCAATCATCCATAGATATAGGCGCAAGTAAGCGTGCATAATTCTTCTCCACTTGAGATTTTACTTGAAATGGGCACCGGGACATGAAAGCTTTCAATTTACAACGACGAACAGAACAGCAACCATAAATGTCATGAATCCTGTTTGGTATTCTTGAAGATGATTAAATGTATGTACAAAAAGCGACAATATATACATGTCGAATATCTGAGCCCGAACACAGTTCAGGATTGGGTTGAGGTCCGCACAGCGTTGTTCAGCATAGCTGTAACAAGCATTTACTGGACGGTGAGGGTGTAGGCGGAGGTCTTGAAGATGGCGTTGGTGCCGGAGAAGGGCTCGGTGCCGGCTTGGAGGCTGGTGATGACGCTGCTCTTGGCAACGCCCTGCTTGGAGGTGAGGTAGGTGAAGAAGAGGTTCAGGTCGCCGTTGAAGCTCTTGATCTGGCTGGGGGCAACGAAGGAGTAGACAGTGGTGTCACCGTTGGGGCCTTGGTAAGTCGAGTTAGACGGCTTTCCGTGGTGGACAGATGCAATTGTTCACTTACCAGAGTAGAGGGACCACTTGGTGCCGGCAATGGTGGGGGTGTCAATGACCTTGCCAGTGCTGGAGATGGGGCCAGCACCGCCGAGGGCGCCGAGCCAGATCATGATTTCGTACTTGTTGTTGGCACCAACGGAGGGGGCGAGCCAGAGATCGTAGGCGACGTCGGCCACGATGGAAGCGCCTTCGTAGCTAATGATGGGGGTTAGCACAAACGATGCCTAGGCTCGTTCGACTTGGAATGATGAGACGACTTACCTCCAGGTCCACTTGGAGGGGATAGACTTGACAGCAGTGAGAGGCTTGTTGACCTTCTCAAGGGCAACGTTGGAGTAGGACTTGACCTGTCCGTGACCACCGGCCCAGGTCCAGGAGGTCGACCAAGTGACGGAGCCGGACTTGTAGGATGTGAAGGTGGTGCACTGGCTGCCGGAGGTGGCCTTGGACGCACCCCAGTTGTTGTGGTAGACGGTAAAGGGGCCAGCGGCGACGGAGCCCCATGAGTTGCACATCTGGGTGGCACGCTTATCGACGGTGACGGGCGTGGGAGACGCGACGGCCGTGACGGCCAACATGGCCGAGACGAGGTAGGAGGTGAACTGCATTGTGGAAATTCGGACTAGCTTCAGCTATTGGAAAGAGTGTCTGGAATGAACGAATGGCGCAAAAATATCGGACAAGAAGAGAACGTAGCTTGTTGGAACGAATCGTAGGGCTGCCAAGACGAGGTTCCCAGGCGGGCGGGTGGCCCTTTGATATACCCCCTACATGATGCTACGTCAACCGCCGGCGACGATTTTTTTTTTTTTTTTTCCCTCCAGAAAACAGAAAGAAAAGTCCCTCCAATTACGGCGTAGCATCCCGAATGGAACGTTAGTGTGCGGCCCAGAACACAACACGACGGGTGAGGTTCTTTGCCTGCGGCCGTGGCTACTCGACCGGGATGCCGGAGGTGCGTATCGGACGGAAAGCTTGTTGCGGGCTTAGTGGGGGGTCCACTGGACGGGGTAGATTACGGTGGGCAAACAGGGGCGGTTTCACCTTGATCACTCTGTTTACTGGACGAACCAAGCGCGTACACACTGCGGCCACGAGGTGCTCAAGAAGTGACTCCACCAATGGGCCATGTGGGCAGGTGTAATCTGCTCGTCACCTTGTGGCTTCAGGTAGATGGATTGTATGTTACAGGGAGGGCTGGCCTGAAAAGCTAAAAGGAGAACTCGTCCAAGCCATCGTATCCCTGGTTCAATATCCGTAAAACCAAAAGCAGAAGGCCAGCGGGAGATGGAAATGAACTGTTGACTCATGTTCGGCCGGTTTAGGTTCATCATCAGTCATGGCCCCAATGAGCACCTTGGAAAGCCGAAATCGATCGATTCCCACTTCATGGGCATTTGCAAATATTGACGTGGCCCCCTCGGGCCATTCCGAGGCTCAGCCTGGTCAATAGTCTAGTTGATTGCTGCCGTCATTTACGGTTCTTTTCAGCACATGGACTTGTTGCGCAATCGCATACGTGCTTCCTAAGCACAAAAGACTGCCGTTATAACCGCGTTCCTTGACCGAAAACTCCACCGTAGTATTTATGTGAAGCCGCCCGCGTGTGCTGGATAGCCATTGCCACATCACCTACAGTGTCACTTTATGTAAAATTCCGCCGCAGTAGCGCGCATATTTCTTTTTGTCTCACGAATTCGGCATCTCATTTTAGTGGTGCAAGGAAACACGGCGTCAGTATGACACATTTGACAGATTGTTCCAATGGAGAGCATACAAGCCTCACTCGTTTTTCTTTTGTCCTGTTCCCTGGGCACGCTTCGAGGATACACACAGAGCCTGGCCGTGAGCTCCTCAGAGTGCACCAATGAAGACATTTTCCTCATTCGTCGTCAATCATAACTGACTTCCTCGTCAAAATTAGACATGCAAAGTCATGTGTCACGAATAGCTGGGTTCTTTGGCATGAGCCGCGCCAAGATGCAGGTGACCCAAGATCAGACCGAGCCCAACTCAGCGGTCCTCTCCCCAGATATTCCCGGGGTTCAGATCAGTCACCAAGGGTGGCACGCATCGGGCAGCCAGAAACGGCAATGGGGCCCAGCTGCCGACATGAGCGCATCCCTAGAGCAAGACAAGGGCCGCACCAGCCATTTTTGATCCAGGCCCTCATCACCACTATCGGGCCATGCTGGGCAGCCGTCTTTTCGTATCCGAGCATACCGTTTGATGTGACACACCACATCCGTAGAGGTTCCCGCCTGGTTCCAAGGCAGAGTTGACTGGTGGGATTTCGGTAAGCCGCCTCGGCACCAGAAGAACTAGATTCTCAGACGGGAGAAATAAAGGGGCTTAGCGAAGGGTTGTAGAGTGGGTGGCGCTAGAGTGCCGTCCCGGCCGCTGCGCCGAGACTCTCTTGGTCTCCTGTCTTCTGGGATGTGAATAATAGAAGCGACAAATATTAAGCGATTTTAACTCAAGGTCAATTCCTCTCTGGACTTCACACCCGCCGTATTTTCCCGCACACATTGGTATGACCGACTTGTTGGATGTGCAATGCCATGGCCGTGTACAGAAAGACGATGGGATCAATCATCGAGGCTTTGTTAGTTTGTTCTAGTTCGAGCCTTCGAGGTTACATCCATGTGCTAGCAACCCCATTCTCATTTCGCTTAATTCCAGCAGCTGCCAGCAACACGATGCAATCCACTTGGTCAAATGCAAACATGGCAGAATTCAACAACACCGGCTGTGTGTTCTAGTGGTCATGATTTCTCGTTCACAACAATGTGAGCTTGATCCGAGAAGGTCGCAGGTTCGAACCCTGCCGCGGTCATAGCATATCTTTTTGATTCGACTTCATGTTACTACTCCATTTTATCAACATACGTTCATCCTCGTATAGTACGAGACGACTACTGTCTTTTACACATTTCGCTGCGGTTTGGTCTAGCCCTGAAACATACTGCCCAGTTTTGCTATAAGAGACTGATTACATGAACGCTTAACTTTTGTGTCAGTAATTGTATCCACCCCCTTTCAACGCCTTTACTCCGTTCTTCGATACAATAACTTCATTAACCGGGGGGACATATTTATAGACTATAATCCCGGATCACATTCTCGATTTCCATGCTACTCTCAACAGTGCATCCTCAGTTTTCCCATCCTGTCTTTTGGCGCTGTTCCCTCATTCGTTGGACACAGTCTGAGCTCAGAGGTGTGCCCATGTCATCAATCGTCTTCTTCATAGCATCTGCGATGCGCTCAGCCGGGTTGCATTCCGGGTGCTTTTCGTAGCAAGTCACGTACGACAGCACCCTTTTGAGAGACTTGAGCAAGTCCATGACGCTCTCGTCCACTCTGATTACCATCTCTGTCATTCTGGTCCCCCGGACGTAGATGAGGCCCGCGAACACGCTTCCTAGTACAATATAATCGCACTTTTTGTTTCGGGTTACGGGAATTCCAGATATGCCGGCACACAGCCATGTGCCGTCTATTAATCTGTTGATAACACCATTGAGATGTGAGGGTAACTCTGTGGCTAGTTGGGAACGTAGGGTACGAATGGCCTCTAAGAGATTGTTAGGCCCAAAAAGTCAGCGCAAGTGAAGAAATTGACTTACCTGGGATGATCGGTGAGCCGAGGGAATCATGAAAATAGTCTTCTATGCGAGCCCCGTCAGGAGTGATCATGTGGCCTCTATCATCTATGGTGCAGGTAAGGCTGATTTTGATGATGGTCCTCGCAAAAAGTCGCTCGTCGCCCAATGCCCAGGCAATGCAGGACAACATGGCCAGATTCCGGCCGTCGCTGGTGCTCTCTGGCGTCTTCAACACCCCAGACCACTGTACGATCCACGGTTGCAAGACATGCTCCATTTCGTACAAGCTAGCCAAACATAGCGTGTGGTAGACTTCGATGAGTGTGGGTTCCTTCGGTATGAGTGAGAATTTTGAGTGAATGACGTTGAGCAGGATCATCAATCCATCTAACTTTTCGTGCTGACAGGCGTATAGCGATGGGGTCCATCTGCACCACTCTTCGTCGACTGCTTGCGTCTCTGAGGATGTCTCAAGTAGTGTGCGTTTCCAAAATGGCGACGCTCGTCGTAGTGTGTTTGAACAGACGCGAAAGGACCTGGCGCTGCCGGTAGACGGGTCAGAACCGACGTGCAACAGTAGATCTCCCGTCGGATCTATTTGGAACTCGTCTTCGTCCGCAAATGCTTCTTCGGGAGGCGTCTGAATCCACTCGCTATCCATGTCACTGTCGTATGCGTTGGGCGTATGACCCGCTGGTCGAATGGGCAAGTTCTTGAATTCCATCTCGTCGAGTCTCCTTTGGATTGTGTGGGAGAGAAGGGAACTCTGCTGAAAAGGATTGAAAATCATGGTGAACCACATAGATGAGATGCGTAATGATGTCGTCCAAGCCCAGCACCGCCCGCCGGACCACCCTCAGCACGGAGGTCACGGGGCATCTTGGGATGTCATGTCGCGTTACATGGTAGAGTTCAGTGATTCCGTAAAATCTGTATAAGCGCAGACATGAAGAGGCGACTGAGGGGAAGAAAAACGCACGGAAGTGCCAGTTTTACGTAATGATACACGCTCAACAACGAACAGACTGAGCTGATAGGTTGGCTATGCTTGGCATCTCGTACCTGGAAACAAACATAAGCAAGGTTGGCAACAGTCAATCTGATGATTCTACCAGAATACGACGTCGATTCAAGCTGCTTCGCGGGGAAGTGCCCGGACTCCCGAGGTCAGGCAGGATGGTCCGTCTGGGCTTGGCCTTGGTCCACTGTGAAGCAAAAGCTTTTTCCGCACTTCTTGGTGAGACATTTCGCGTGGAAAATGATCAGGTCCGGACATATGACTCAGCTATGCTGATTCATGGAGTTTTGGATTGAAAGTTCACGTTGGGGATATTTGGTCTTTATAACTTAGGTAGGCTTGAGAGTGAGTCTTTGCATACGGCCCCAGCCATTCATTGCAATTTCTTCATTCCGTACATCGTCAGCCTTGTATGCGGCTAGAATAACTGTTGCTTCTTATTTTCTACCCAACCTGCTGTCATCTTCGTCTGAAATAAAAAATCCGTGGATGTTCATGGTATGGCGGAAAAGTCGTGAAATGAACGAATGCGGAGGGAAGAGACATTCGGAGAGACACTCAACCTCATAGAATTCACAACTCTATCTGATGCAGACTTGGTTAGTGTATATATGTTTTTCTGTCCAACATAAGTTTCATTCTCCACACTGTTTATTAGGTGACTGGCTGAGGCGATTCAGAGACACAAGAACCGGCAAGCTACTTTTTTGTCTTTTCAACTACTTATGCATGTCTTATATTCACAAAGCTAGTATAGGGTTAAGTAGTAGGTCCATGCTTTCAAACTGATTGCTGTCGATGCGTATTCTCTCTTGCTAGCATCCTCATATCTTGTATCCAACTCAGCGGCACATCTGTTTCATTACCACAAAATTCTTCAGCCTACACGGGCTGTGTTTCATATCCAACAGTCTGTGGTAAAACCTCGATAAATCCCTGTAAATTGCGGTGACTAGTACCTTACCTCGGTCTTCAAACATTCTACCTCGAGGTGGTACGAAGTCGAACTTTGCAGGCCCGATCACAAGGAAGTTATTGGTTCGAAATCCGTTCCTGTCGACCACCGAGCGTATAAGATGACGAGCTGCTATAGAACTTTTCAGATCACTAGATGTTGATGATCAAGCATTTTTTGGTACTACAGAACACGATTCTATAGATTGGTTGTACATATTCCAATCCTGTTTCAAAATGTCCTGAATGAATCGTGAACTTGACTGTTTCTGGATCAACGTGTATATGAGTTGGCAATTTTGGTTAAGACGCAGCGTTGATCAAATGGACTGTTTCTTATCATTGATGGGTAGTATTAGCTTTAAAGTAAGCAGTTCTGTAAGAGCTGATATTCTATTATACAAAAGTGGAATGTCTCAATCATAGTGAAGTAATCATCAAGATTGATAACTAAAGAAAAGACGCCCCTGTCCACTACGTCAGTTTACGAGATCGGGGTGGCCTTGAGGTAGTTGCAGCCCTGGTTATCAAAAGGGCTACCGCAGCCAACGTTGGTATCCTTCTCGATAAAGACAGCCGGCAAATTGAAGTAGCACGTGGGAACCTTGCCCCAGGCTAGGTTGCTCAAGTCAACCTTATCCTTGTCGTCTCCACCGTTGAGCGCGCAGTCGATGATGGCGCGGTAGTACGGGTCACGGTTACCGAGTCCGTACGAAGCCATCTTGTCGTACACCTCGGCCTCAACCTCGACCCAGTCGTTCTCGCGGTTCGGGTTGGGGCTGTTGAGCATGATGTAGAAGCAGTACTCCTCGCCGTCCCGAAGCGCCATCCACTGGCGTCCCGTGGCGTAGCCGCAGTCCTCGCGCGACTTGACATTGTCGCGCTTGTCAGCGACAAGGTAGAGCTTGGCGGCGCTCATGACGTCGTTGGCGACCTTTGGCTTGATATTGTTGCTGATGGACTGGAGGGCGACGGTGACGGCCTGTTCGTCGTCGTCGACGAGGAACCAGCCGCCGTTGTAGAACTTTGTGATCTTGCTTTGGAACGTGTCCCACTTCGGGGCGGGCAGTGAGTCGTACTCCGCCTGGCTTGTGCCGCCGCCGGTGGCGATGCGGAGCGTGTTCTCGAGGGCGCCGGTGGCTTGCTTGAATGCGTCGGCCAGGGCGGCGGAGATCGAGCCCTGGTCGATCTCGTTGGCGCTATTGGAGGCGGCGAGACCAGAGAAGATGCCGCTAAGCATACCAAAGCCGCCAGCGATGGCAGTTCCCTATTACAGCAAGTTGTCAGCAAGCGCTTGGAATAGAATAGCAAATTCTCATGAAGATCCGGTGAACTTACAGCTCCAGGAACCAAACCTCCAATCGCACCACCCATAGAGGCAGCGGCGGAAAGCCAGCTAAGAACATCGCCGGGGTCATCCTGGTTGCCTTGGAAGTCGGTCACCATTTGACCGATCTGGAGTCCGCTGATGAGCGTCTCCTTGGTGAGCTGCCGGTTCAGCTCGTTGAACTTGGCATGCATGCCCTTGACTGCCTGGAAAATCCAATAGGAGTTCTTGCCAATCGGAGTCTTGCCGTACGCGTCATATTGAGCATCGCACGTCATGTCGTTCAACGGCTTGCACTCGTTTCCGAGGGCTGAGCAGCCAGCGGCGCCAGACTTGCCCGATGTGCCGCCTGAGACGAAGTCTTCGAGGTTCTTGACCCACGAGTTCTCGTGTTCTGTTTGAAAGTCTTGGGTTAGCACTGGGATTCTCGCACGAGAAGTCGCCGGCATAAAGAGCTGTGAACTGACCCCACTGAGTCTTGATGAAGAGGTCAAGAGAAGCGCCGGAATAGGTGTCCTCCCAGAGCTTGTCGGCGCCCTCTGGGGTTGTGAGATCCCAGCCCTTGCACATGGCATCCTTGCTGTCAAGGGCATCCCGCTTGACGGAGATGCCAAGTGGCGAAGCATTGCCGGCGGCCACGAGGGCCAAAAGAGTGGCCGAAGTCTTCATTGTCAATGATGGACTTGAGAGGGTGTCGGGCTAATTAACGCGGGAAAGCAAGGACTATGTTCCTGATAAAGAGTGTAATTGTTAGGAGCTTGAGCTGTGTTGGTCTGTGAGAGTCCAACATGAGGCGTGAGCAGCCTCTCATTTAAGTTATAGAACAATGAGAGAAAGGGACTTTGGTTTCTGAGAAAATTATGGCAGCTGGAGTTTCGAACCCGGTAAGGCTGCAGGCCATAATCGCGATGCCTAGCAGATTAATCTCTGCTGTTTCGAGATGAATTCTGGGGGCCGAGGTCGATTGAACCTCGAAGGATTAAACTCCTTTGGTAAAGTATACGAACTTTGGTAGGATCTTTCGTTCTGTGCCTGGCGAAGGATTCCCAACTTAGAATAGTAGCAGCCTGGAACTCCCCATGCCGAAGTCTAAATTCAAGCCACGGCCACTCTATCGGGGCCTTTGGTAAGGGAGGGCACAGACTTTGGAAGAGACCATCAATGCAACCCATAAGCACCATGAAGCCCCATAAGCTAATTTCGAGGACGTGAGACATGCCAGCTTGCTCCACCGTCGTGGGGGCTATTGAAGAAGCCGTTTGGCTGTGTTCGTCAGGCAGTCAAAACAAGGGACTTTGGCATGTGGGTATGGGGCCATCTGATTGTTGCCTATCACTGCCGGGATGTAATCGCAGGGCACAATGGGGTCTGATCGACAGGAACGCTCTCTTGGCAACGGGAGGCGGCAATTGAACAGGCGAGCCTTATTCCCCGAGCTCTTCATGGATCCCAGCACGGCATCCTTAGTCCTGCTATCTCCTGACGTCGTGCATGAGTTTACTCCGCTGTATTAGGCAGCTCGAAAACTGAGAATACCTATTGTCACTGGGCGGGTCATGTAAACAAAACCGACCGGCCGGGGGGTCGAGGATGGTGTGGATTCATGTTGCGCGCCATCTGGCCCCCATCATCTATTTGAGTATGGAGACATTGTAACACATTGTATTCCTAAATGGATTTGATTGCGACTTACATAGACACGGGCGTCATCGGAGCTAAAGCCAACGATAACGGCGAGGAGGATTCAAGGCGCGCGCCTAACGCTGTTACCACGAATCAGCTCATGAGCCAAGCGTAAGGACGCAAGAAATGGGCCGCGTGCGAGTCGTCCTTGTACTCAGTTCTTTGCGTTGACGCTCAAGTTTGAGGCATACTCTTACCACCCTTGAGAGGTTTCTTGCGATGAGCATCTTTTCATGCTCACGACTCCTCCTTCAGCTGCCCCTTTTCGTTTAATTAGGTACATGAAGGCAGATATCAACGTGACGCCCACGCCAATCAAAGAGCTGATGGGAGCAAGATGTCAGATTTACAGACTAGTTGCGGCGCTTAGAGCGCTTCTTCTGCGCTTGCGATGATCATTTCAATCGAACCAGACCTGGCCCGTATTGTCTCCTGGGCAGAACCTGCTCGGACTGGACCCCTTTACCCGGCAGGCCGCATCTCTGGAAAGTGGGGCCGATCGCAACGGCCGGCGATGGTCCGGGCATTTGCAAGTCATCAGGATCGCCCTACAAGGAAAGTATCTCAACTTCTCGACATCTACGGATAATCTGCACGGAATTGAAGTCTGGAAGACGAATATCTATGTGACACAGATGTCGCTGGTCAGCGCGCAGAAGCGTCACGGTTGGATAACATGTCCATGAGGGGGAAATTTTCTTATACAGTCATTGCGAGAGTACATGTAAGAACAGCTTCTTGTTCATAAGCACAGCACTTTTCGCAGAAACTTTGGCCCCCGTAGCAGTTCAGTTCCATCCTCTAACATTCTCCTCCAATAGGCGAAATGTCAAGACCTTGACCTTCTCCAGCGGCACACTTGAAGCCAGGGGCAATCGGCTGCGGCGCAGTCAACTGGCCCCCAGTGCAAGTAGCAAAATGAGTCTCGTCCTCCAAGCACGTCAAGTAGCCCTCGGTGCAAGAGTCGGGGTCAGTGACAGGTGAATCAGGCAAAGATGTCGGGGCAGTGGTAGGCTCAGCTACAGGCGCACCTGGAGCGGTCGTTGTTTCACAGATGGTGGCGGTGATGGTGACCGTGACGACGGAAATGAAAGGGGTCGGATCAACGCCAGTCGGGGCTGCAGTCTCGGCGGGAGAGGTCATAGAAACAGTAGGCGCTGCTGGGATCGAAGATTCGGCCGGAGCAGTGGGTTCGATGGGGGCGGTGGGCTCGATGGGAGCAGTAGGCTCCACGGGAGCTGTCGTCGGGGCCGGGTTTGGGTCTGTAGGTGATGTGATGACAGATAAAGTGACGGCAGAGGAGGCGGTCGGGATAGGGGTTGAGATAGGGGAGCCGTCGACAACGGAAGAGGTCGGAACAGCCGTCTCAACAGTACCAGGAGGCATATCGCCGCCAGTCGGAGCCTTGACAGGGGTTCCGGCATTGGGATTGCCATCACAGGGTTGCTTGTAGAGATTGTCGCCCTCGGGCCGGTCAAAATAGATGCCGCGGTTGGGGAAAGCGATGGGAACTTGTACAGCCAGAGCCTCTTCAGTGGTGCAGCCGCCAGCGACTTCTCCAATGTTGGCCATAAAGAGCTCGGGAAACTCTTCACGCTTCGCAAGGAACATGCGACGATCAGCAAAGTGTTCTCGCTTCTTCTTGGAGGCACCGTCACCACCAGTGACGGTGATGGGGGCACAGTTCATGTAGTACTCTGGCTGGCCACCAATTCTGGCGAGCCAGACCCAGGCAAAGACGTAGTCACCGGGTGCAATGCTGGAGGGGATCTTGAAAGGGTACTTATCTTTATTGGGACCCTCGAGGTTACCCGTTTGGTTACGGGCTGGGCAACCGCCCTCGATGGAATGAATGACCATCCACTTGGAATCCTTGGTGGGGTTGGCGTCGGCGCTGAGGGCGAACTGGCAGCTGCCGCCTCCATGGACGGCCTGGCCCTGGAAGGTGGCCTCGAAGGTCTCGCCGATGGCAATGACTGTGGGTGCTCCATCAACGATGTAGCTAGCCCCGGCGGGAATCTTGCATGGGAAGTCGTCACCTGTGGGAGAAATGGGGTTAGTAGGGCCATCTTCAACAAACTTGAAGGGCTTAGGGTTTTCGAGGACAACGTGTCCAAGGATCATCGATGCCAGCATCGAGACGAAAAGAAGGAACTGGTTAGTGTTCGAAGGCATTTTGATGTTGCTGATCGATGGTTGACTTGAGAATGAAATGGTAAGAACGGGCTGGGAATTGTGTTGAAAAGAACGAGAAGAAGTGAATTGCAGAGTTGCTGGGGGTTGTGTTGTTAATCGTTGTGATGAGTCGCAATTTCCACTTTCCATTGGCGCCTGCCAGGCTTAAATGGACATTTCTATTTCATTCAATTAAGTGGCCCTTTCAGAGTGGACGCATTCACTGTTTGTGTAAACTGCCAGTGTATGTATCGGTTATGCTTATGCCCCTGGCCTAGGTCACAACGTTATTGTTTTCTCAACGTCTTTTATGCCTTCCTAACACAGATATGAAACATGCACACAAGATGGCCAAAGAAGATCGCCATGGAAGGAACAGCTAATTATGATTCGACAGTTTCAGAACACCGAGTCCTTTGTTCTCCATGAGTATGATGAAGATGTGCTATGTGAGCTGGGGAGAGCGCCACCTCCACTTGCACTCAGCCACACCACAGTAGCCAGGGAAACAACGGGTACCGGCAAAGTCAGACACTGCCTGGGCTTGGTTGACTGCGAGACCCCGAAACGTGGACCAGAAACATGGCTTTAATAAAACCGAAGCCAGTGCCTCGGTGGTAGGCTTTCCTCTGTTGCCCGCCATTCTAGCGAAGGATTTTGAACTCAACAGCCGTTGTTCAAAGTCTTCGAACAAGAGGGGAGAATAGAAGCAATAGCGAGACCACATGCACCGTTCGCATCGTATCGACCCTCGCCGCCCAAAGCATGAACAATTTTTCCGCGCAATGATTGGTACGGATCATATTGTCCAAAGCTCGGGTGGGTAATTCAACCAAATGCGTTGATGATTTGGCGCCAGTATTATCGCGAAGACTTAGGAGGTAAATTCAGTGCAGATCAAATACCACGTCGCCGAGGCAAATGCCGACGATTGAGTTGGACCTTTCTTCAGCCTTTCACGGACCCTGCTCCGCTCCTGACTTCTCAACTGGGTATACAAATCTGAGCTCGTCGTCATAATACTCGGACAAGTCTCCTTCCGCAAATGCTTAGCAAGGGAGTTTGACACGCGCAGAGGGTCAAAACATTGCAAGCCAACCGCCTCAAGCTCTGTTGATCCTCGGTGTCGAGGTCTACGTAGCAAGTACCCCGCGATCGCCATGAGGTATTTGCACGGCACTACCCATTTCCGACGATGTGGTCGATAGCCGCATCCATTATGACGCCGTACATATGAAGCTACCCACGCCTAGCGCGGGCCTAGCCAAGACACACCTGTCCGCGCCACCACGCCGGGATTCCTGAGAACTGAGAGCAAGCCTTCTTGCGTCGACCGGGCCCAGCGGATCACACTAAATGAGGCTTAACTCACAGGCCCCATTCCTCCGATAACATTGGATGTTATCCACTGCTAGACGCCATGCCAAGAATGTCCAGCTCAGTCGCTCCTCGACCTCGTCAGTGGCAGAAGGATAGCTCCGAATTTCAGCTTCCCCGGATGATCAGAGCCAACGCTTTAGCTCTCGGCACAACCCTTGAGGCGTTTTATTTCGATGAGTCCAGGCTCAGCATGATCTGGAAATGACGTCTTGCATCGGATTTGTTAGATCATGGTCCCTTTACACGGGAATTCCAGTCGCCGATGGGGAATGGATTCGAGATTCAGCGAATCTCTACGCGACGTTAGTGTTAGGGTAGCTGAAATTCAGTGTCCCATGACGTTTTGGGGCTTTTTACGATGGTTTTGACGATTTCAGATGCTTTCCAGGTGCGTGAAGAAATATGGTTTTTGATCAACTTGACGTATATATACTACATCTTCATCATCCCCGAAACCCCTTTTACGACACAATCCAACCCAAACCAACTCAATCAATCAAACACTTACCAACGATAACAACCGCAATCATGGATAAAGCCAAACAAGCCGTTTCCAGCTTCATCTCCAAGGATGGACACCACAAGACCAGCGTCGATGAAGATGTCAACAGAGCCGTTACCGAAGAACAGGTCCGCCCTCACCGTCACGAGGAAGTGACGACAGCAGTCGACAAGGAGGTTCATCAAGATCACCACCATACTACTATTCAGCCTGTCAAGCACCAGGAGACTCTGTAAGCAGTGCGAGGGTCACGAGGATTTATTAAATGACTAACCCAATTACCAGCGCCGAGAAGCACCACCACAACATTGTCCCTGTTGCACACAAGACTTTTGACCATGGAAACGAGCAAGAGACCAAGGATACCCTTGAACGGGCACACGCAAAGTTCAAGGACACTTCTACCACTCACGAGACCACCCACTCAACAACCACTGCTCCCGTTGTAACTGGCGAGAGAGTGCATCACCACATCCATGAGCACATCCAACCCGTTATCCAGAAGGAGACCATTCAACCCCACATTGTTCACACCACTGTCCCTATTCACGAGACGCACCACGCCAAGCCCATCCACCATGAGGCAACTACTTTGCCCGTGAAGACCCTCGAAGAGTTCACCAAGGAGAAGGGCAGTCTCGATGGTCCCCGTCACCACCGATACGACGAATTCGAGGGCTGCCCCGACAAGTTCCACAAGGATCTCGGCAACACACACCAGTCCGGCATTGGCCACAGCCATGACCACAGCCACGGCGCTAGCAAGGCCGCTGTGGGCACAGCGGCTGCCGGTGGTGCTGCCGTTGCTGCTCACAAGCACCACGAGCATGAGCAAGAGCGTGGGGTAGCTAGCCATCACCACTCCGGTCCCGGGAAGGGTACTGCCGCCGCTGGCACTGCTGCCGCAGGCGGGGCCGCATTGGCTGCCCACAAGCATCACAACAACCAGTCCGGTACCCACGGTGTGAGCGACCGCGGCCTCGGCCACACCGGTCTCGAGAACCAGCGTGCTGACCAACACAACACTCACTCCGGCTCCGGCAAGGTTGCTACCGCTGCCACCGGCGCCGCTGCCGCGGGAGCTGCTACCCACCACGGTCACAATACCAACAACACCCACAGTACTACTGGCACCCGCGGCTCCGAGAGCCTTGCGGCTGCCCAGACTGCCAACTCTCGTACCAGCAACACGCCCGGAACTGGCAACCTGTCTCACAACCAGACCGGTCGTGACAACCTCACCAACAACCAAACTGTAGGTGATAAGTCCACCACCACTGCCCAAGGCATCTTGCACGGTACTCATCCTACCGGCGCCCAGAACACCGCTAGCAGCTACACCACCTCCGGTAGTCCTACCACTGCAACTCACGGTAGCTCAGGCCTGAACAAGTCTGAGGTAAGTCACATGCTTATCATTGATCATTTGCATCCAATTAACTCTTTTCCAGCCTCGGTTCGGTTCGACAGGCACCAGCACCAGCCAGAGCGGTGCTGGCAAGGCCTCCACCACTGAGCATGCTACCCACGATGCCAACGGCAAGAAGATTTCGCTTGTTGACAAGCTGAACCCCTTCAAGGATGCTGATGGCGACGGCCACAGGGGTATTCTGAGCTAAATGCATTACGACGACATGGAGCGTTGCCTTAGAAGTTGGATAATTCTATATATTAATAGTTTGATTCATTAATTCACTGCCCAATTGTTTCTCGAGATTATGTCTTGTCCACGGTTGTTGCAGTCACTGGCCTCTGGCGTGGGTGATCAATTCAGACTCAGCTTCAGTTCCGCCCGCCTCTTTTCCATCTTATCCACAGTGTTCTTAGTCAAATTTACAATTCGGCCCTTGCGGAGCTTGTGAGACATGTCACTGATCCTTATGATAGGGCTGCATCGATCTCGGTGCCCCGCGTAGGTAGAGATATGTTCGGCAATAGATCTGATTACCTCCGCAAAGTCAGCAACACTCTCGTCTGCATTGCCTGTCAGTGTCAAGGAGATCATTCCCCTCGCTCTCGCCATCCCTCTAAGCAGGCTGCCAAGGATAATGTTGTTGCACGCCGCCTTTTCTTCGCGGAGGCCGGTCTCGTCAACGCAGCAGCCTTGGCCACCTGTGAGCTCCCTAATGACGGAATTTAATTGAAGTGGCAGAGTGCGGAAGATGTCTCGTTGCTGTCTGCGTAGGAACTCTAGACACTTTTTGTCAGCAAAATTGGCGCGTGTATGTACTTGTTCAGTAGAATTGAAATTACCGAGGTGACTAGGTGGGCCGATGGGCTCGAAATCGTCCAGCACCACGCCATCGCTAGTAATCATACGCCCATCCTTGTCGAGAGAAGACTGTAGGAGCAGTGTCCCCATCATCTCCCTATGTAGCTCGACGTGTCCCAGCTCCCAGGAGACGTAGGCCAAAGCAGCCACGCTGAGCCCGTCGGTGACAGCCGCATCACTCTCCGCCACATTCGACCAGGCAACAGCCCACGGCTGTAGGGCCGAAATCATGTCGTACTTGTTTGCCAGCTGGAAAACCTCATACAGCTCGAACAGGCTTGGCGAATTCGGGACCAAGGGGAAGTTCGCGTGGATAATGTTAAGGATAATCTCCAGCGCGCCGGGATTGTCTTTGGGGAGATTCACTAGCCATATCCCAAAGGCCGGCTTAGATTCTTCAAACGGCCCAAAGAGCATCTTCTCCCAGACCTGCGAAGAGCGTCGTAGGGCGCTGGCGCAGACGCGGAAAGCCCCCTCGGGATCCTCCGTCTGCTGCCCCGCTAGCAGGATGAGGTCTCCGTCGGGGTCGACTTGAGTTTCTGAAATGTTTGGGAAACCCCCGTCGGCATCGCCATCACCGGCGGATGGTAAGGCGTCCATCGAGGTATGCAGATGGTCTTGCGAATCCAACGCTGACGGGGCTCAAAATTGCCCAGTACATGCTTTTGGACGTCATACTTAGAGGTGGAGGTTACGACGAGTTGTCGTAGGGCCTTAGGCATCGAGCGAAGAAAGTTGGCAAAGTTGGAAACTCAAGAACCAAGATATCTTCATGGGTCCAGGGACCATCCGTGTTTCCAGAGTTGCATCGAACGCCGACTTATGTAATCCAGCTGGTCCCCGAAATAGCTTCGTCGGCTAATCACAGAAATCTCGAAGTCGAGGAGTAAGTTGGCGAAGAGAATAAACCTTGTTGTGGTCTTTTGGATGATTGATGCGAGATCTCTACGGCGTACAAGAAGACCTACTTAGGGTAGATAGGTTGCGATAATCATATTGTTAATCTGTTCAGCGGATCCGATTTGTCAAGTGAAGAACGGCTGGTTGATAGCGGACGTGGCATATGACTACCAACAATTTTTAAAGAGGCTCCTTTGACAGAAGTTCCCAGGTTATTCCTCATGAAATTTTATAAATCTTGGACAAAAGGAGATTGGGAAATCACCAATGCAAGCTCTGAGTAACTACTTTTAACGCCATCCCCCGCCTTTGCTCAACAATCATAGCACCGGCTTGTTCAACTTCCTGTTTATCACCGTGCAATTTGTTGAATGTGACTTTCACTTGTGTGATTGAATAAGGCGGATATTGAACTTTGACTCGCGTTCCCCTGGCTGACTTGATGATCCTCCACATTGAAAACTCAGGAAGCTCTAGAGATACCAATGCGCAATCTTCGAGACAGTCGCGCTTGTATTTTTTGGGGGGGGGACTGGCATACATGTGACCAAGTTTGACTCTCTTCCGATCTTCAGCCATCGCATGCTATCATGTCATTCATCCTGTGTCAACGCTCTAGGGACGAAGTGCGCAGGATTAATTTGGGAGAGTGAGCGGAGACGGAGCTTAAACCACATACACCAGCAACCAAACAGCCTTCTCCTTTCCTATCCAACGCGAGAACCAGCAAGTCAGCTTGGAAAGACAATCACTGTTGTCTCACAATGCGAATCCAACGCCCAGTCGCGTCAACGCAGCATTTCCGCTCCAGCACGCCATTACACCCAAACCCGCAGCACCCCAAAGTCGCGAGCATCGAGAATTACTCAGCAGCCTATATCGGCCAACCCGCTCGCGCTCTATCTATCACTACGTGAATTGGCAACAATCCTGCAACATGTCGTGACCCGGGGCGGGGCCCTGGGTGGAGAGCATATGAGGGAGGGGGCCGGCTGTCGTTGGTTCAGCTCGGGCTTCGTCGCCGTATCGGTCCGGGCGGTACCCGCCCGCGCTTCGAACGAACGGGGATAACAGACGACTCGGGTGCTCTTCTCGGTAGGTACACTAGTCCATGCAAAGAGAAGGTGTGGCAGGTTCCCTGTCGCAAGATTAGATTGCCTCGGGCGCAAGGACAGCACTTGAGAAAGATTGCGCCAGTCTTTTGGAAAACCCAAGAAGTCATCCACGCCTGCTGCTAAAACTTAACACGTAATTAGCCGCCTATAAATGAGAGTTTCAAATTACGTCCATCAGGTAAACTTTGGTTCTTGTCGGGTTCGTCTTCTTTGGAGGGGGTTTCGCGGGGGGGTTGATTGAATGGTCAATGGCGATGCAGCCATCTTGGGGAAGAATCACGCAATGCGGGACTACGAGAGCACGTAATACCCCCCCGCGCCCAAGCAAAGCAAGTTCCCGATCGACAGAACGACTCCGAACACCGGGAGGAGGGGAAATCAAATGGCCCTTATCTTTAAGCAAAAAATGACAAGAGAAAAAGAAAAAGAAAAAGTTTAACAATTCTATTGTGACATTTGGAGTGCTCTCCCCTCCTCCAACACGCCTCTTTCCTCTTATCCCCTCTCTACAGTATTTGGATAGAGTGATCCTAGTTTCTCACTTTGCAATTCTGCGTCACTCTGAGAGGAACTATTGCCCAAGGCGAGAGCTGCAAAGATACCCGACGCACATACGGCCAGAGTCGAAAAAACGCCCGCAGACAAGCCATTCCCATCTCATAACCAACCAGGAGGCATAGTCTCACCACCTTGAACCCCCTGAAACTTTTACCAATGAGAACGGCGAGACCGTAAGAAACCGAGAAACCGAGAAAAGCCATGGCAGACATTCCAGAGACACAGACCGTCCTCATCCTCCACGCTGCAAAGCAGCCGTACGAGACGGCAGAAGGGTACCAAGTGCCCGAGATCCAAGATGAACAGGAGGTGCTGGTGAAGACGGAGCACATCGGTCTGAACCCGATTGACTGGAAAGCACCGTACGTCTCTAAACACAACCAAACCACCCCTTCCCCTTTCTCTGACACTCTCATCAACGTGTGTCGGCGCCTTTTCTGGATGCCAAGGCAAACTAACCAGCACTCCCCCCAACATTAGCGACTTCAATTTTGCAATTCCAACACTCCCCTACATCTCAGGTCGCGAACTCGTAGGCCGCGTCGTCCGCCGCCCGCAAAAATCCCACAGCCGCCTCCGCGAAGGCGACCAGGTCCTCGTCATCTCCACAGACTACCGCGACCTCCGCAAGGCCGCCTACCAGGAGTACGTCGTCACCGCAGACTTCAACGCGGCCCGCATCCCCGCCAACGTGTCCCCGCACGCCGGCGCGACCCTGGGCGTCGCCTTTGTCGCCGCGGTGCTCTCCTTGGGCGTTTGCATGGGCGTAGACTTTTCCCACGTCCTCGGCGGGCCGGACCTGCTCACACTCTTGCGCTCCATCCCGCCCGAGAGTCTGCCGCAGGACATTAGATCGGAGTGTCTCGCCGGCATTGGGAACCACGAGAGGGCCGTCGCGGGCGACTGGGTCGTCATCTGGGGCGGGTCCTCGACCTCGGCGAACCTGGCCGTGCAGCTCGCGCGGCTGGCAGGTCTCAAGGTCGTCACCGTGGTAGACAAGCTGCGCCACGGCCTGCGGCTGTCGAACCACACGGTCCTCCGGCCCGATCTTCTCGTCGACAGCCACGATCCCTCGCGAGCCATCGACATTATCCGCGCCAACGTCGGAAAGGACCTGCGCTTCGCGCTGGATACCAGCGGTCGGGAGTCCGCCGGCTGGCTGCTGCGCGCGCTGACGCCGTCGCAGGATGCCGGCGCGCCGCCCAGTCCCCCCGATACGCCTCGCAACTCGGCGCCCACCGTGAAGCATCTCATCGGGCTGACTGGTCTTCCCAAGGAGCAGGCGCCTGAGGGGGTCGCGTATCACACCGTCCCCATCAAGGTCTTCCACGAGGTCCCTGCTGTTGGGGAGGCGCTCGTGACCTGGCTGGAGCGCCTGCTCGAGAGTGGTCTCGTCAGCCCGCCCGAGGTCCTTGGCGTAGAAGAGGGCTTCGAGGGGATCAACCGCGGCCTCGACCGGATGAGGAAGGGCGAGATCCGCGGCGGGAGAATGGTCGTCAGCCTCGCGCCCGAGGCCGAGGACACTGCCGTGGCCAAACAAGACGTGACGAGGGACGCGAGTGTGCCGCCCGCGCTGGTCGATTCGCCCATGGCAGACGGCGGCGTGGAAGAAGAGCTTCAGCCTTCCGAGACGTCGCAGGCGTCTAGCCCCGAGTTCACTCCCCAGAAACTCGCTGACACTGGCCTGCGGAGGGGAAGCGCGACATTGTGGCAGGCTGGACCGGCGGCTGATGCGGTGCCGAGACGGTTGCCGGACGAGCAAATTACATCAGGGGATGGCCCCTTGAATGCGACACTGAGGAGAAACTCTCTCTGGCAGCCAAAGTCAGCGGAAATTGCGGTGGAAAATGCTCTCTCATGACGAATGTCCGTAGCTCAGCATCTGAGCTGAATTTGAATGATGATACAAACGAAGGGGATTTACATAGCCGAAGCCTCAATTGGTTCCACATAATGGATGCGCGTCGACTCCAGAGGCAGGCAGGGTTTGAGGTAGAGTTGGTAAAAAAAAAAATAGAGACTACTTATGTTCTTCGTTAATCGAAGAGGTACCTAATTCCCGTGCGACCTTCGGTGAAGCGGACTCGACTGGCTCCGGATTGGGCGCTGCGGAGAAAGTGGGACCACCCGGGGACAGCCACCCCTCACCGAGCGAGACCTAGTGCCTGGCTCTGCTTGCGTCTCCCCTCATTCCTCCCGACAATGTTCTTTGTCGTCAGTGTGTTTCCGTCAGTTAAGCTCATCAGATAAGAGTCTCCCGGCCGCTTGTTGCGTTACCGGACCTCGACCAGATCTGCAAAGCCTGCGTGCCTCTTCTCCTTCTCTCTGCAAATGTCATCTTCCCTGGTCGAGCGGCAGCGGTTACCGCCTGAACTCATTCTGAACATCATTGAGAGCCTCCTCCCGTCGAATGAATCGTCAATCTTGCCTGCATCCCATAGTGCAACGAAAGCTCTGATATCCTTCAGTCGGGTCTCCCGCTCGACATATGACTTTAGCACCCGCCTACTTCGCAAGCGATGCATGCACATCGACTCGACAAGCCGCCTGAGTCTGCTCCTGCTCAGCCTCTTCTCCCCCTCGCCCAGGACTCTCCCGCCGACTCTGTCACTCAAATCCATCACATCTCTCTACCTCAGCCCCTTTGGAAAGTCGCTCGATGATAAACCGACGGCGATGTGGGTGCGCGAGCTCTTTTGTGAGGTCTGCGACACCCTCAAACGCCTCATCGTCGATATGCCGTTCGGGACGTTGTCCGGCTACGACGACCATCTCGATGTCAGACCGACTCTGACGGACGGATTCCAGAGGCTTTCCAAGTTGGAGGAGCTTATATGCCTTCGAGACTATCCGGCTCTGACTTTTATGCAACAGACCTTTACCGTCAACTGCTGGAGCCTATGGCCCAATCTGAGGCGGGTACTATTGTTTAATGCCCCCATGTCGAGCCATTGGCTCTGGTATGACATTGCAAACACCGCCCAGCTCGAGCAGGTCATCCTCGCGCGGCCGCTCGTGCCGCCGCGGATCAATATCAAAGACGACTACTATCACATGCTGAACAGCTATGACCACTTGGTACCCCGGAAGATCAAGATCGTGCTAGCCGATGTGGAAAGCGACCTCCCGGAAATAGAGACGACGAGATGGGACGAATATGACCCCGAGGGACTGCTGGCCATTGAGAAATACGACATCCCAACGTCCTTTTACGGGGATGAGAACGCCACTGATTTGTGCTGTGACTGGGTCAAAATGGCAGCATTGAATGGTTCAATTTGGGACTGGAAAAGCCACCCAGTGGACAGTCCGCCCGTTGAAGGAGTATAGGAGCAACCATTCGTGATCGGCACCGAGAGTTGTTCTGTTCAAGAGGTCTTTGTGACTTTCTCTCGGTTACAGGGGCAAATGTCTAATTGATCTCCTGAACAGTCAATACTCGCGGTGTCAGGTCTTGGGATGTGACCCGACAGCTTGCTGCAAGCTAGACCCAAGCTGCCGTGTCTCGCATGTAATAAGGAGGCAAAATCCGGGGACCGGGGTCGGGATCTGGGATTAGCAACATCAATTTCCCCAGAGATTGGATTTCTGGCCTGGGCGGGTATTGAGGTGTACGACGAGGTTGACTTTATTTCCCAACATGTCGTTGCTCTTCTGGAACCGCATTAGACAGATACCGTACTTGAGAAGCTGGTGAATTTGACACGGCTCGCTTTCGGGCGGCATCATTGAAGACTTGCTGCGGCGCGATATTACGCAACACGAGCCGCAGGACATGTTGAAGACTACCGACGACTAGGTAGGTTCGATGTCCAGCGGCGCCTTCATGCCAGCCTCTCGCACCGGCCTTTTGGTGGTCAGCGCTCGATGGCTGAAGATTCTTCGCCTTTGCCTTCGGCTCTAGCGCGGCGGAAGAGGCGCTGCGGTATCCCGCCTTTGTCCGTAATCTTGTAGCAACACTTTAACCGCCCAAATTTCAAGACGGCGGTATAGTCTGTTCACAATAGCAGCAGGTGCGGGGTTCTGAGACAGGTATTGCCGGATATCTCAGACACTGGAGGGGGACTGAGGGGTAACTGACTAGAGCCGGATTTCTGTCCGCAGCATCTGACAGGTGATGGGTGCTAGGACCGAGTGCTCCCACTACTGTACCTTTGTGTCGTAATGTGGACATGCTGGGGAACCGTCTGATGGTTCGGACAGATTGGGTTTCTTCTGGAGACATGCAGCACTGAATATACGACTAGCGGCGGACGAATAAGAGAAGGATCCGGGCGATGGTGGTCAGCGCGTGCAGAAGAGCGGTCCTGGTGGTGAGGAAAGTCGGGTGACGTTGCATTGGAGAGTTTTGCTTCTCCAACCCCCCACGTCGCAGCTAGTAGGAGAGACGGTGCCTCGGTCCCCAATCAAGTGGCTTCGGCGGATGTTGATCACATATCTGAAGTGGTTGCCTTGCAGGAAGCGACGCAAGTCACTCGGCCAGCGGTTGGCCCAGCGGAACAAGGTAAAATGCGGCGAGATCAGGGCGGGCAGGGCTGGACGGGCAGGGCCACGGCGGGCTTCTAGAATATGTCGTGGAACATGCAGGCCGAGGTGCTGGAGGCGGCATGGCGCGTGGCGGCACACCAATAACGTAGCAACGCTACTCTGCCCATCTGTCGTAGGTGCATTGGTAAAGTTTGGTGAAGTATGGTAAAGCCAGGTAAAGTAAGGTATTGACGAGAAACGGCCAGACGTAATAACAGTTGGAAGCTTTGCGGGTGGCCAGTCATATCGGGCGATGACTGGCAGGATGAACGGCGGGGAGAGCCGGGAAAGACCTGACTCTAAACCAAGCAATCACGCTCAAGTCTCGAGATGGAAGCTCGGGAGACTGACTGGCAGTACGTGATGGGATTGGATGTGACGGGCTCTCACCAAAGTCCGCATCGGAACAACGGTGGCCGAGAGAGCCGAACGGGTGATGCCGGGGCCAAAAGCTGTGGCGCTGGCCAGGAAATAAAAAGAAGAAAAGGAGGGAAAAATTTTAAAAGTTTCCAGGCTGGCTACTGTTCTTGGAGGCAAGTCGGTCTAGACGAGTTCTTTCCAATGCCATGGCGCGCTTTCTTCAGCACCCGTCCAATAAATAAAAAAAGAATGAGTTCAAGAAAGAAAGAAGTGCCGCCCGTCTTGGGAAGTCCTAAAAGGGAGGCTTGAAAAGAAGCAATTTGGGGGGGAAAAGGAAAGCGTCGGGGAAACGGTGAGTAGGTGGAGACAATTGACGGGCTGCAATGACGGCCGCAGCGGCGCGCATAACGAGGCGGTGATAGGCGCAGCCATACTCCGTACATGCCATATGGGATTTTGCCGACTGCTCTTGCATTCCTGCATTTCGCATCCCATTGTTCCCGCGGTCTTAGGCAAGCAACAAAGTCTTGCCAGTCTGTTCTCTGCGTCCCCTTTATCTACCTAGGTAGGTAGCCACATAGTTCTGTACCTTACCAAACACTCCCGGGCCTGCAATACTGCAATACACACCAACCCTCAAACCGCGACTGGAAGGGCCCTCCTTTAACTGCCAGGGCAGACAACAGGAGTCATGCCTGCTCATCGGCTCTCTTGAACCAACGCGCACACACACACCAGCAAACAAGACATCCATCTACCTACTCATCCGCCCCCTTCTCTCATGCTGTCGCCGCGCTTTCGCTTCGCTGGCAAACCATATGCGCCACTGACCGTCTCCCCGACTCCGATCCACCGAGTCGGTGGTGACCCCCGTCCACCTGCTTGATTTCTCCATTTTACCCCGTTTTTTCACTCTGCCACCCCCCCAGTCTACCCATTCCAGCAACCTGGTGTGTTCCATCGCCGACCCTCTTTCCCAGTCCTCGTCTCCAGTTTCTAGCCTCTTTCTCCAGTTCTCGCCTCACCTCTCTCCTCGTCACTTCTCCTCCTCCCTTTCGCCCTTACGCCGAACTCGTACCACGGCCTTGCCCTCTGTGGGTTGACATCGTTGACGAAAACATTGGCACCGCCTCCGCCATTTCTGGAGAGACAATGTTGGATTCCTGTATCCTTACTGGCCCGGTCTTCACAGCGTTATGAGCTTGCGTTTCTTCCGCCTCCAGAAAGCATAGGCAAGTTTGGCTTCCGTCCTGCGCCTTGCGGCCCTCGGGAAGACGGGTGTAACGCACCACGACCACCGCCGCGGGACTTGTTCAGAAATGTTTGGAGAAACCTATGCTGACCATGGTCCATTGTCCAGGCGCCGCCATCCCCCGAGCATCGCGCTTGTTCGCGCAAAACCCCGATCCCCTCCCCGTCACCTTGCTTACTCCGAGCCTCCCGATTTCCAATCATGCCAGACAAGAACGTCACGACCATCTCCTATGCCGCAGGCGCATCCCTTGCTGCCATTGCCCTGGTATACGTCTTTGCGCCGACATTCACAATCGACGAATCCAGCACCTCGTCGTCACGAAGGAAGGGTGTTGTCGGCTTGCGCAATGCTGCAAACGATTGCTTCATCAACTCGACCTTGCAGGCTCTCGCGGGTCTCGGCGAGCTGCGCATGTACCTGATCCGCGAAATTCACCGCCGAAACATCGATGATGAGGGCGTATACTCCCAATTGGTTCAGCCGCCAGGCAAGAACTACCCGGAATGGAAGATCGAGGGCATGCAACGCGGATTGGTCACACAAGGATTGAAGGACATGCTTGATTCGCTCAACGAAAGGCCCATCTACAAGAAATCAATCTCTGCCATTGAGTTTGTGAGGGTACTTGAGACAGCCTTCAGGCAGCGTATTAGTCGGCAGCAGCAGGACGCCCAGGAATTTCTCCAAATCGTGGCCGAGAGACTCAAAGAAGAGTACCACGCCGGCGAGAGGGCACGCACCCAGGTAAAATTGGAAGCCTCACGAGCCACCTCGGTCGGCGCTTCCGTCAATGGCGACGCAATACAAGAAAAACTCAAAACCCTTGACCTGGCCAACGGCAACGCCGAAGACTCCTCCTCAGCATTACCTACGCCAACCATCCCCAAGATCCAGACCAATGGTATCCATGCGCCCATTGACGAAGACGAAGGCTTCCCGATGGAAGGCAAATACGAATCCCAGTCCGAGTGTCAGACCTGTGGTCACAAAACGAAGCCAAGAGAGGAGTCCTTCTATATGCTGACATTGAATGTACCCCAAGTCAGCTCTACCACTCTCAGCTCGTGCTTTGACGAGATCTTCAAGACGGAGATGATTGAAGATTTCAAGTGCGAGAGGTGCCGACTGATCCACGCCGAAGAATCCCTCAAGAGCGACCTGGCAAACGCAAAGAACGAAACTGAGAGGACCGCACTCGAGGAGGCAGTGCGCAAGTTGCGCCATGCGATTGACTTTGATCCGGAACATGTTCCCGAGGACGTGCTTCTCCCCAACATAGCCAATGCGCCCAAGCGTAAAATCGCACGGTCGACACGCCTCACGTCCTTCCCGCGCATCCTTGCCGTCCATCTTTCGCGCTCCATCTACGACCAAACGTCAACCAAGAACTCGGCCAAAGTTGCCTTCCCCGAGCGATTGCCTCTTGGCGGCTTGCGCGATCGTCGCAATTACAAGTTATTGGGTCTCGTCACACATAAGGGAAGCCATCACAGTGGGCACTACGAATCGTTCCGGCGCCAGAATACCTATGCTCCGTATTCAAACCAGAATACCTTTCAGCCCTCGGGCATCTACAGCAAGACAGCCAGCCCCGCGGCTACGCCACAGCCGTCGACGCCGCAACTTAGTGCGATTGCTCGCGGACACAGCCCCGCTATATCAACACCCGACCTACTGACGCCGAGCTCAGAAACGCATTCTTCCACCCCTTCGCTTTCGTCATCCGACGCCTCGCCAAAGGACCGAGTTTGGAAGCGAATAAGTCCGACATCCGCCCCGCGCGATAGGCAGAGGGAACCTGACTCGGCTAGCATCCGTTCAGTGCGATCACTCACGGCGTCGGCAAAGAGCACCGTTTCCAAGATATCGCAAAAGGTCAACGGCAATAGCACACCCGGAAGCAGTCCCCCACGGTCCACGCCAATGGCCGTGGCACCTCGTCCGCCTATCCACAGGTCCCGCAAGAAGCAGCCCACCGACCGCTGGTGGCGCATCAGCGACGAAAAGGTTCGCGAAGCCAAGACGGCCGAGGTTCTCGATCTCCGTCGCGAGGTCTACCTGCTATTCTACGAGCTCGAGAGGGATGATAGCCCGTAGAGCGAGGCCGGCAACGTTCCCTCGCAGACTGGGGCGTTGCCACCCGAGTTTGAGCCGTTCCGGTGCTACACGGCCACCGCCTCGATGAGGCTTACGATGTTGCGTTGACCCCTGGCTCGTTTACATTCTTGAGACTGAATCTTTTGAACATACCACACATGCTCGGATGCATGCACTTTACTTGCATCGAGAAGAGAGAGAGACAGAAAAAAAAAACTTTGCATCAGCTGGCGTAAAAGTCTTGTTGTTTAAGCATCTGCATGGGGGGAAGTCCCTCGAGGGACCCCAATCAGCATTTTGAGGAGGAGGGGCTAGAAGCTGGAAGAGAAGGGAGCCCGCTCGAAGCGTTGTGACGCAAGGTAAGGTACGGCCCTTGAGTGCAAAAATACGGTACGTACATAGTTTTTTGAGGGTTGTGACAGTCGCTTTACAGAGACGAGGTTGGATAAAGCTGAATATAGCGTTGAAATTACCGTCGGGGCCTTTTGCGTACCATCCTTCTATTGAGTCGCTTTACTTACCCAAGCAGCTATCTGCCTTCATCGGGGGGGCCGGGGGGGTTTCATTATTTTTCTTTGCAAATGCGGTGTACGAGTGCCATTTCGTCAGAGGACATGTATATATACCTGGCTTTCTGGAAGCCCTGAAGAAGCCTTTGTCAGATATCAGATGACGCGAGTCGATCCCCCTAGAGGGGGTGGACACACGTCACTCTGAGGTTAGATTTTTCCTAGGTAGGCCTCACTCAAAATAACAGCAATCTACACCATCGTCAGGATAGGCGATGCCAGAAGAGTTGGCACATGGATATTGCATGTACCAGTGTAGCTACATAGTATGTGACATTGGCACGCAACGAGATAACAAAGACTCCATTCGATTAATAGTACTCTACGCGGTGCTCATTGCGCACCGAGGTTCAGGCTCGCGGCACAGAGGGAAACTCCGATGCGCCAACTCGCTAGCTCTAGCAGTCGCCCAATCCAAGATGTCTCCGGTAGGCATCTTGGGCCAACCCATTCCGCCTAGTTAACCCAGGCTTGAACGCCCTTCCTCATTATTGTGTTTTCCTCCCCTCTCGTCCTGTCTCGTGGCTCATAAACTTTTACTGTCCCAAAATCTCCCCTGCAATCTTGGCCTGGTCCTCCTCACTGAGCGCGGCCTGGCTGCGCGCCTTGTCCGCCTTCACAGCGTCATATCGCCACAGACCGCCCGTCTTCTCCGCGTCGCCGGTAGCCGGCAAGCCGACAGTGGCGCCGAGGGATTCGAGAACGGGGTCACCCGCGCTGTGGCGATCGGTAAAGTACCTGCGCTCCCAGGAGCGGCCCTCGTTCTTCTCCTTTGCGCGGAGCTCGCGCTGCGCCTTTTCAATGGCGGTCTTTTCGCGGCTGACGAGGTCCATGTCGCCCCTTGCGATGCCGTCGGCGACGCCCTTCCACGCGCGGCGCGACTCGAGAGGGTGCTGCTGATCGATGGGCGCTACGACGAGCTTGGAAGTCGGGTGCTGCGCGGCGTCAAAGGTGTCGAGTAGCGTCTTGGACGAGTTATGCTTGGCAGCGCCCTCATGAATCTCAAAGGACTTTGTCCAGATGCCTGTGACGTTGTAGAGCACGTCCTTTTCCTTACCCGTGGGGTAGACGGAGGCGATGACGCTGTTCTTCTTGCCCGAAAGCCAGCCCTTGCCTGAGTAGTCGATCTTGGTGGTGAAGCCCGTGGAGGAGGTGATGAAGGAGGTGCCCTCGAGCTCGATGAAGGGGGCGCCGAAGATGAGGCCTTCAATGTGCAGGGCGGGCAGGGTGATGAGGTAGGTGTCCTTGCTACCGTCTGGGGTCGGGACGGTCAGGACGGCGTGGCCGATTTGCTTGATGTTGATTGTGCGGCTAAAGGTTGCTTTTTGTGCGTTGTAGCCCTCGATGTGGACGCCCGTGGGGAGGTTGGTGATGGAGTAGGCTGTCGCGGGCGGGTGGTGACTGTTCAAAGCACGACGGTTAGCAACTTAACGTTACGCTTTGGAGTCTGAAATCTTGGTAAAAGAGCCAAAAGGTAGCCATCTTACCTAACCTGCTCACTGATGAGCTCCGTTGTGCCAGCGTCATCCTCCCACTTGCCGAGGAACAGCTCGCCGAGGAAGGGGTTGAGGGGCTTCTTCTCGTTGCCGTACTGCTCGCTGCGGGAGGCGTAATGCTGCTTGAGGGTACTGATGAACCACTTTGTGACGAGTAGGGCGCGCTTGGCCTGGTCGGCCTCCTTTGCGGGAGCGGCGAAGATGGATGGGTGCTCGCACCAGTAGGAGGAGAACTCGGTCAGGGAGGTGCTGGAGAGGATGAAGGGCGGGGCCGTCAGAGAGGAGAGGTCGCCGTTGAAGGAAGCGATGGACTGTTGGAGGATTGGAAACCCGTGTCAGTTGCGACGTGTTTGGTGTCAAGGGAGGGACAGAGGAGAAGGGGAGGGGTAGGGAAGACGAAGGAGAGGAAGGACATACCTTGAGGAAAGCTCCCCAGCTGCCCTGGTTGGCCTGGGCTTGAGCTGATGTTGGGGTCTGGGCCGCCATTGTCGATTCGAGGAATGATGTTTGTTAGGTGAGAGGTGTTTTGCAGACTTGGAGTGACTTTGGCAGAGTTGTTGAATGGCTTCACGGATATAGTAGAAGAAAGAATACGGACTCGAGGGTGCGTGTATGTGGTTGTATGTTTGTGTGTAAGTTTCTCTCAAATGTTACGGCATGCAGGCGGGGTCTCGAGATAAGTGGCCCGCGTGCTGAGCTGTCTTGGACCTGTCTTTATGGGAAAGTGGGATGTCGTAGTGCGCAGTGGCTGGCGCCGCTTAGTGACCGCACCGGCTGATGGTGCGTGTGCGGTCCGCCTCAGTTCCAGTTACTTTGGGGGCCCTGCTGCTGGGAAAGCTTTTGGTGGGGCTCCCAACAGGGGTTAGGAGCTGCGATTTACGATTCTAGCTTCTGGATGGTCCAAGGTAGGGCCAACGGGAGGAATTTCCACCACCGACGACGACAGGGACTTCAAAAAGAGTTGGGAAATGAAACTGATCCGCTCGTCGGTTGACTGGACGATGGGGGAGCAAATAGCTGAAGGGAGCTGAGAGTGGTCCGTTTTGTGGGGTGCTTTTTCTCGAGTCTTTATTTCGCTTTGAAAAAAAGTCAGACCGGATGCCAAGAGTATTGGAAGGAGTTCGATTTAATTAAATGTTGACCGTTGAAGACGGCTGAAGGAGCTTTGCTGTAAATCCGTGTCCGAGGGGCAATGAAGGGGGGGGGGGGGGGGGGGGGGCGGATGGAAGTGGGAAAGAGCTGATTGAGTTGACGTCAACTGTCCTGTCCTGTCGACCACCATCAACAAACCAGTTGGCATCTAGACCAGCTACCAAGAATGCGCCGCACTAATTGCAAGAGGCGAAAATGATGGGATGCAGCGTGGCTGAGCTCGCGTGTGTGTGCGCGCCCACTTCGAGACGAGACGTCATCGTCATTGACGGCCGCCCCTCGCACTAGTGAGTGTAACCAAAGGGGACCTCACACACCCGACCTCTTTCCCCGTCCGAAGGGCCGCCGCCGCACCTCACCCTGCACATTGACAACCCCCCGATTTGTTTGGTGGGGCGGCAACAGCCTATGTCAAGCCACGCACGTGCACGGATGAGTCTCGATTGCTGAGCCACAATCGGGTGGGGACCGCCCTTCCGGACCTGCCTTATGGAGCTCGGTCCTCGATCCGGCCCGAGTTACACCCCGCCCGAAGCCGAGCTCTCGACGAGTGTGAGTGCGGCGTGCATATCTTGTCTGCTGCTCAAATGCTCCCCCACGTGGATCCGGAGATGCCGCAGTATCAGGTATATCGTGTGGATTACGGCCGCGGGCTGCAACGTAACTTCTAGACAGTCAACGAGACTTTTGAAAAGAAAGCGTTCTTCAAATAGAATGATGCTTCAAAATTGATTGTCAACGCCTGTTACCTACGCCGTCCCAGTAATATAACCCGAGTGTACACCAACCTGTTTGCCGCCACTACGCCTGCGTATTCCCTGGGTATCATCGCGCTTTCATGTCTACCATTACCGTCTTTCGCCGTCTTCTTCTTCTCTCAGCAACTCTCGTGTAGCTTCTCAACCTCGCCGGTATTGATCCCCGAGTAGTGCCCCTCGACCCGCTCTCCAAGAATCATCCACGGGCTCAACTTGCACTCCAAGGTATGCTCGACCCATGCCCACGCTAAACACTTCTTCCCCATGTCTTCGCACTCTTTCAGACACGTCTCCGCGCTCTCAACAGCATGCACCATCTTAGCCCGCTCGTCAATCCTTCCAACATAATCACGTCCCGTCCGAATCGGCAGCCTCCTAAACTCCTCCACTGATGGCGCACCATAAATCTCCCACAACTGGCCCCAAAAGACAGGACTCCTCTCGTTCGCAAACGCCCGCCCAATCCTCTTCATCTCCGCCGGGTCCGCCACCCCGTGAAACGACACGAGCGGCGAGCAGAACCGGTCGGCCATCATCTTGCTGATATTGGGCCTCTCGCCATTGAAAAAGTGGCTGTACCGCTCGTCGAGGTACACGCCAATCTTTTGAAACGCCGTCGCGACGAGCTTGTCGCCCCACGTCTCGTCGAGGGAGTGCTCCTGCGCCGCGGCCACGACATCACGCCGCGAGAGGAGTTGTTTGGCCGCCTCGTGCGATATCACGACGGCCGACCCGCCGTGAGCGAAGCGGCCCTTGAAGTCGCCGACGGCATTGCCGATGTACTGCGGCACGTTCGAGTCCCAGTGTGCGAGGAGGAGACGCAGCGAGGATTTGACGAGGTAGGTGTCGTCGTCGACGATGACGTACCATTTTTTTTGCGGGAGGTTGTCGTAGATGTATTCGAGACCCCAGATGAACTTGTTTCACCGTCAGCGTGAGGTTTCCTTTTGATACGAGCGCGAACGCGCGGGGCATCAGGAAACCAAAA